CATTTAGATGTGAAGCAAAAAAAAAAAAAGAACTGATAATTCTCCGGAGTTTCAAGCCAAGATGCGTGTATATTGTGTGATTTGCACTTTGACAGAACTTTAATATTGCATTTTAAAGTTCCTCGAGCATCACTTTGGTGTGGTGTTACGAAGGGGGATGCGAAAATAAAGGGGTGTACGAGCTGGTATAGCGTTAATGTATACCATTATCCCTTACAAATCCAAAGTGAAATGCCGCTCGTGCGTTTGGCGATGTGTGGAGGACTTCGGGATGCTGGAGCGCACAACAATTACTGTATATGATGGTGGATGGGTCGTAAAAGTTGTCATGTTATAGGCTGAGCTCAGAGCTGCGAGGACAATCATGCCACAATGGGGAATCCACGACAATATCGTGACCTCACCCACCATTTCCGCAAGTATTATGAACGAAAATGTTCCAATAAAACGCAAAATGTCGCACTGGCATTGAATCACCTCAGCATCAATGACACTATAGTAGTACATTCTTATCGTTTAATGACTGATACAACATACTAAAAGTAAACATCACTCGCATCATATTCAATATCGCATTATCATCTGCTAGTACTTGATAATATCAATCTCTCACTTTGGCTGTAGTGAAAATGGGGGTGCAGACAGTTAATTTTTTTAGTTTTACAGCATAGAAAAACATATAAAGCCAATTATGAAAAAGAAAAGTTAACGACAGATCGAGAAAAAATGTCTTGGATGATTTTATCTAATTTTCTAATTGCTTTTCTTCCTTTCAGTCATCCGTGGAATGACATTTTTCCGGAGTTTTTGCTCACGATTTTTCACCTTCTTATTTTACACTGATTCGTTAAGACTTCCCCGCAAAACTTTTGTTGGGAGAAACTTCTGCACACCTCTAATGCCTTATTAGAGCTTCGAATAGGAGTTTACAAAGCAAATCAGTAATAGAGACTGTATTATTGCCACCCTCAGAAGTTGACTCAATCATCTTAATTAAGCTCTGTGGCAAGTGTAAAGGAGAGTCTGTTAGTAAAGTGGAGGTTTGAGGAATAAAAAGAGACGATATCAGAGAGTAGTGGTGATAAAAGGGTGCCGGCGGTGATGAGAAAGATGATGGAAATTTCTCTGCTTCGTCCATTTGCTTGATGAAAATTAATAAAAATTAAATTCTCTGCATTAGCTATTCAAGTGCCAGCTGGTGTGTCATTGTTTGTCATTCAGAACTGCGGGGTGTTCTGTCAGAGGAAGAGTTCAGTGTGCGGCACAAGGTCTAAATCACCCCCAGGATTTTTTGTCTACTCGCCTATTTCCAGTCATCATCGTCAACCTTCCCCGGAGTCTGGTGGCACTCTTGCCTCAGCTGCAGATCTTTTGCACTTTCCGCCATGAGGATGTGAAAGATGAAATTGCATAAACATTGAGGAACATCTTTCAAATTTCGCCAAGGAGCTCTCGCCGCTTTGCCATGGCGCCAGTCGTGAAAATTAAATTAAAATGTAAATGACCCGAAGCAAGGAGTCAGGAAGCACTACGTGGAATGATATGGCAGGAATGAAGAATGTGCTCTGCCAACAATTTCGGGGCGATCCCTCTGCAGCTGTTCTCCACTAAAAGGAAATCACTTTTTTACGAGATATTGAACCAATCCCCCAACTTCGCCGCCAGCCAATCAGCCCCAAAAGTCCTTGCCAGTCCTCAGTCGGGAGCTTAAGATGGATTTTCCTATACAAAAGGCCAGCATTTTCGTCTATTAGCAGCACACATGCGAATCAATTTCTTTTTTACGATAAATTTAATCCATTCCTGTTTGAAATTCGATTTACCATATTACACACACGCACATCCACCAATTCCGCAGTCTTACGGAAATGTGTGGTATATCATGGCAAAGAAGGTTCACCAACTAATGGTTCGGGTAAAGAAAAAAAAAGTTTTTGCTCCATCAACTTTTTCGTTACACATTTTATATGAGATGCTGTATTACTTTCAGAATAACAATTTGATTTCATCCACCTCGACGTGTACTTCTTTTTGCTGGTGTCAGTGGTAAGCAGAAAAAAATATTAGGGAATTCCCTACTTTGGCAGCGTCCTTGTGGGCGCCGTTCAGTAACACAGGGATAAGTGAATGAGTGACTAAGGAATTAGGTTAGCCGAATGATTCTCTTTTGGGTGTATCGATGCCGCAAAGATGAATTCTATAATACTTTATTTTCACACACAGCGCTATATGTATTACATTATATATGGTTGGAATTTGCAAGCTCTTAGTAGATTAAATTTGGATTAGCCACATCCAAGCGCAAGACTCACGAGGATAAGAAAACAATTCCACGGAAATCCCTAATTTTAATCGTGAGAGGAGCGCATTCGGTGTGATAAAAATATATTTCCTCGATTAACATTCCACTTGCTTCTTATTATCAGAGGCAGAATATTTTCTTCTGCCTCCGTGCATATATTCCTCCTTATGCCATGAAGCCTCATGCGGAATGTAGGCCGAAGGGTGTGGAATTGAGTTTGCGGCAGAACTTGATGTAGCATGAAATTTTTGTGACAGTGCTAATGTCGTCTTGGCGGCGAATTAGTAATACGATTGTCTCTTAAGCGACAATTTCAGCAATTATCTTCTAAGAGATAAAGTGCGTTATCTGTAATTTTAAGTGTGAATTAACACTGTTCAAGCCAAAGTTTAGACCATGTAGAGTTCAACGACCACTTGGGCATTCTTTAGACGATAATTCCACCAATTTGTTGCTAATAACTAACTTTTTGAGTTTTCCGTTAATATTTAACTGCGTCAAATGACCAAAACGCTTCTTTTTCTCTTGCTTAGACTGAAAAACAATATTTGATCCTTAGAGCAAACTTCTTCTATTCTTGCAGATCAACCTTTCGATTTTGCATGGATATTTTTACTCAAAAAGCTTTTATGATTGTGTCACATTTATCTCTATAGAACTTTCTAAAATGCCCTGTAAATATACTCACCAATCAGCAATATATGGGTGTGGACAAATTCTCTCTTCAATGCTCAAGTGAATTTCTTTAAGAAGTTTGTCGTCTTCTTCCTAATGATTCAATAGTCAAGTTGATCAGTTTGATCCTGGCAGTTAGATATTGTACACCCTTATGTAAGCAATCAATAGATTTTTCGATTTAGTCACCCTATTCTTTGGGAATGAAAGCAAAATGCCAGGCGATAGAGGAGGCACTTGAGATCTCCAGTGGAGTGAGTGTATCATCGTGAGGAGGGAAATGGAAGACGTGGCAGATAAAGTGAAAATAAATGATTTTGTGACAACAATAATATGTTTCTTTTGGGGATGCTCGCTTCGAGAATGAGTCCCGTAAGTCCTTTTTCCACGTACGTATACTCGTGGCATTAGCCATAAAATGATAGAGAAAAGGGGGTTGATTTAGAGCCAAATTAACTATTTTTAATAGTATCCCTCTTCTTGTGCAACCCCCGGAATGCCTCGCAAGAAAAGCCTTCTCCGACTCAAGGGGATTTACTGTGCGAATGAGGCACAAAATATGTTGAGCAAATGTGGAATTGGGCGGAATTAATTTGTCACTAAATTGAGCTGGCGGAAGTGACGCATCCGGGAGGAAAGCTTTCAATTTCGCTTGAGCCAGCTAACTTTAATGATTACACAACGAAATAACAATTTAATATAATGACACTGGCAAATGACTAGGTGGGAAGCCAAAATCTGCATATGAAGCTCTTCAATTGTTAAATACTCAAAGATTCCCACATGCAAGACACCCAAATAATGATCCCTCAGATGATTTTCCAAACTTTTCCATCCATCCTCCAGAGTTTCACCGTCAACTTTTGCCAGCATGAGACAAAATCCACCCAGGATGTGTAAGTTGAGGGTGAAATGTTCACCCCCAGTGGGAACTTTTAACCTTAGCACCACACACACACACACACACATTTGCACATTTATTTTTCCCCCGGGGGTGAAGAAGTGCGGGGAGGAAAAAATATTATTAAATGCCATAGGATATAATGCAATAAATTCCAAGTTGATAAATTAAGCAGCAATTTATGTTGAAACTTTCCATGTTTTCGACAATAATTCAGTTGAATAAGTTTGCATTTCCGACTCTTATCCTTTTCTTACCCCACCGTCCCCTTCCGACTTTAAGTCCAATATTCACTGCGAATTTATCCACGGGGAGACACGCTTCGCAACTTCCATGCAGAAGTGCGGCATCTGCATTGTCTTGTCAATTAAATTCAATCCATCAGAACGAAGTTGAACACGCTCACCTTTCATCTCTTTTTGAATATTTGATTTGGTTTACAATCAAAAACTATGAACGTGACTTCCTCTTCACTTCTCTTTGAAGTCAAAATAATTTTGTAACCAGGAAATAAGTTTACTTTACAATCTAACAAGCAGTTCCCATACGATAAAGTGTCTTTTTTATACTCAATCCACCACTTAGCTACATTGAGCAAATTAAACCATTTTTATTTCATGAGTTTAGAATGGGGTGCGCGACATATTTTTGAATATTCCATATTCAGTCTTTTGGAAGTTTCAGTATATCTGTTTCGCCATTTCTTACCCGCCACAGCGAGGCAATGGCAAATTGTTTTGTGTTAGGAGTGCCAGCAGAAGAGAGAACACATTTTCATATGGTGTGTGCGATAAAATGTGAAGCTGTTTATTTATTTGTAGGATTAAAATCAACTTTAATGTCATTATGATTGTTGCCAACGACACGTTGTACCATAATCCCTCTCCTAAGATTATTCTCGCGTGATATTTCCGATTGCATAAGAAAAGGGATTATAATTTGCACACGAAATGTGTTTTTATGTGATTTGTTGTTATATTTCCAGTCATTCACACCACAATTAATGTGCCATTCAGGATTGAGATTGCGGGAAAGGATGGATTCCCATGACAACATCATAGGCACGGGGATTCTCCTGATTTTCTGCCGTCTAAATAGATTTCACTCGTGTATTCTTCTAATCTCTATTTATTCTTGATATTTACAATGGAAATAGTAAAGTAAAACAAATAACAAGAGGCAAGAGTTAAATCTCTCTCAGTCCACAATAACATCTCATTTCAATCAATTGACCCCAATAGATTCGCGATCGCTGATGATTCGACACGGAAACACAATGAGTTGAAATGGTTCAAAGACGCAATTGAATGACAAGATGACCAAATTGAAATTATTTGCACTATTGTCCGAATGATGATATGCTCAGTCTCTCCTCGCGAACTCTCCTGTCTGGTCGCACTTGAACGTTGGGAATGAAGAAGGACAGGACGCCGCAAACTGCAATGCAAGAGTGTTGAGATGATAAGAGAGATTAGGAATGAGGATTCAGTTCACTCACGGATCAGAGAAATCCCAGACATGAGAAAAGTCGCCTCGCAATTATGTTCAATTAATGTTGCCACGAGATTTGACCCAAAAACGCTTCCTAGACGACCTAGCATCAGTGAAATGCACACTGACATGGCCCTCAAGTGCGTTGGGAAGAGATCTACAGTCGCTGAATTGACAACAGTCACAGCTAGGCCGCAAAGCAAGAGAATCACGTAGAGATAAATGGAGAGGAGAGGAATAGTTGTGAAGACACATGCGATGCCGCAGAGACCGCATCCCATCAGAACAAACACTGCAGTTAAATATTCAATTAGGTCATGAACTCTTGAGTATATGTTTCAAGGCTCACCAAGAATTGCCAGTTTGCCCACTGCATTGATCGTCACACCAATAAGAACAAATCCCACAGCGTAAAGAACTTCCAGCACCAAGGAATGCTCAAAGGCTGAGATGTCCAGCGTGACATCGCACTGAAGAAAAACATAAATAGTCAAGAAAATAGTGCATTTTCCACTGAAAAGCCGAACTCACTGCGGCATCACTGGATATGATAATTTCACTTATATCGACTTTTGTCTCCTGAACAGCCTGACAAATTGTCGCCGTGTAATTATCTCCAGACTGATCCATGTGCGTGGCGATTCTGTTCAGGATCTCCGGGAAAAACATGTACATTCCATTGGAGGTGGTGAAGATCCCAAACTGAAGGACACACGCAATCAGAGTCTTCCTCAAGTGTTCTCCCATGAACAATGGCGCCGTCTGATTGTACATCGATCTGAGCACTCGACAAGGTCCTTTGGCATTCTGTTCGTTGTGCTTCCGACTGGCGAGGCTCTCATACTCCTCAATTATGGCACAAATCTTCAGAGTCTCTCTATCTTGTCCCGTGTTTATGGCATAGATGCGCTGCAGTATCTTTATCGTGTCGCTCTGACGGCCCTGCGACAGGACAAACTTGGGACTCTCGGGCAAGCTGAGCAAGGAAACGGCACAGAAGAGATTCGGCAGGCCGCAGACGACAAGGAAGAGGCGCCAAGGTTTGTAGGCGATGCCAAGGAAGGGAATCTCCAGCGACCAGGTGTTATTCATCACCAACCACGCCAATGCCGGCATCAGCATCCCGCCGAGACCAAAGATGGTTGAAGCAGCCATAATGGCTCGCGATCGCGTTTTCATGTTGTGAAATTCACCCAAATATGCATAAACCGTTGCAGATGATCCAGAAATGCTGTAAAGAAATATTCCAATAGTACAAATTCATCTTCATAAAGTCAATAAAGTAAAGTCAATGAATAACACTGTGCAACACTTTTCTGCCCTTTTTTGAAGTGTGGATTTTCTGATTCCTTGAGTCATCAGCTTTTCAACGGTACCTTCCTTTTTTCTCTAGACCCTCAAGTTTTCCTTTTAGAGCCTATTTTCCATTTTCCACTATTTTCACCCACTTTGCCGCACTTATGTGCTCATATCTCGCCCAATTTTCCACGGATTTTCCTCAAATTAGTCTCAAATGATAGCTATTGAAATTACCTACTACTTTGTAAAACATTGTGAGTGTTTTAGATCACTCCTTGTTGGTCAAAAATGATCTTTTGTGAACCACTAGGTAAAAAATTCGCCGGATTTTCACCACTTTTTTCTAAATATCTCCGAAACGAAGAAACTTTTATGTTGGATTATTTTTCCTATGTGTAGAGCACTTCAGGGGATGCATTTCCTCCATACATGCCGAAGTGATATCTCTTCTCTATCTGCCGGAAAAACGAGGTTTTTCCTCGACAAGTTTTGCTTTTTTATGCTACGCGCACCCGCTAAAAAATTGAAAGAAGGTACATTTTGCTGTCAACGCACTCATTTAGATGATGATAATGCTTAGATGTTAAAACAAAAGAGAAAAAAGGCCAATATCTCGACTTTTTAGCTATTTTAGGTATTTTTTTGGTCTTAATGACAACAACTCCTTAAAAAACACGAAAAATTCACGTAAAATAGCTAAAAAGTCGAGATATTGGCCTTTTTTCTCTTTTGTTTTAACATCTAAGCATTATCATCATCTAAATGAATGCGTAGACAGCAAAATGTACCTTCTTTCAATTTTTTAACGGGTGCGCGTAGCATAAAAAAGCAAAACTTGTCGAGGAAAAACCTCGTTTTTCCGGCAGATAGAGAAGAGATATCACTTCGGCATGTATGGAGGAAATGCATCCCCTGAAGTGCTCTACACATAGGAAAAATAATCCAACATAAAAGTTTCTTCGTTTCGGAGATATTTAGAAAAAAGTGGTGAAAATCCGGCGAATTTTTTACCTAGTGGTTCACAAAAGATCATTTTTGACCAACAAGGAGTGATCTAAAACACTCACAATGTTTTACAAAGTAGTAGGTAATTTCAATAGCTATCATTTGAGACTAATTTGAGGAAAATCCGTGGAAAATTGGGCGAGATATGAGCACATAAGTGCGGCAAAGTGGGTGAAAATAGTGGAAAATGGAAAATAGGCTCTAAAAGGAAAACTTGAGGGTCTAGAGAAAAAAGGAAGGTACCGTTGAAAAGCTGATGACTCAAGGAATCAGAAAATCCACACTTCAAAAAAGGGCAGAAAAAAGTGTCATTTTTGTTGCCTAGTGTAATATAGATGTCTTTGAGGAAACATGTTTCATCAAACACATACAGATATAATAAATGAAATAAAATTTTACTACAAATTGTCACAAACTATAAACGTTATAGGTACTCAAGGTAAACTAGGAATTTTTCCATAATCAAGAGGGTTCAAAAGCCCCAAAAGTTGAATGAAACTTGAATCCAAACATAGCCCATGAGTTTCTCGGCTTTTGCGTATTTATTTACATGCAGAAAATGCAAATAGTTTATGATTTGGTTTGTGATTTAAAAAAAAATAGTTAAGACTATAATTTTCTGTAAATGAATTTTTCTTTAACAGACCTGAAATTAATTATTTTTTAGGCGTATAAAATTTTACAAGATATTTTGATATCATTAAATGACTTACAAAAAAAATGATTGTATGTATTTACGTCATGAAAAAAGCCAAAATGAAACAATCATGAAGCTTTATGACAACAAACATAAAATCTAAATGGTCTTAATTAGCATGACTTTCACCTCTGTTTTATTACTCACAAGAATCCTGAGAGGAAGCGCAGCACGGCAAAGACCCAGAAGTTGTTGGTCAGGCTGGACAAAACGGTCGTGACGAAAGCCGTGAAGAGCGACGGCATGATCACAGCCCGTCGGCCCATCGTGTCGGCCAGGAAGCCCCAAAGGTGCGAACTTATGATGATGCCCACGAAGGCGATCGCACTGAGGACTCCCTTGTCCCTGTTCGTCAGCTCCAGATCACACTGCGCCACTGGCGTCACAAAACTGATTCCCAGCGTCTCCAGCAGCACCGCCGCCAAATTCATGCCGCACACGAAGATCAGGAAGCAATTGAACTTGCCGAACGTGACTTTTGTCAGGGCATCCTCGAAGGCAATCGGGCGATCGCGCTTCACCTCAACTGACGCCCGCGCTTGCTCCTCATCCTGCGCCCTTTTGCTACTCTCCCGATTCTCACTGCAATCCCGATTTTGTCCCTCATTCTCACACACGCTGTTTCCCATTGCGCGTTCGCTGAAGCACTGTATCGAAGCACAATCAACTCGATCTCATCGCGGAACACAAGACAATACACGACTATATGGGAGTCTCGTCGGATGTGTCATTTATATAAGGTAACGAGATGCGAAAAGAGCCACCAAGTGATGCTTTCGCGCAGCTTCTAATCTGGCTTCATTATTTGTTATTTTATTTTATTTTCATACAACATTTTATAATCATTTGCGAATAAAACTTTTTTAGCTATTATATACACATTGACAAACACCTGGCTGAGTAAGTAGTTTTAGATCACGAATGAAGTGTCTAACATTTGTAGAGGTACATTTTGAATGTCATTCATTCATAACTTTAAATTTTTCCCAAGACTTTTCCTCTTTTAGAGAAATACAAATGCTATATTTTTCTCATATGCTCGCTCATCTTGATCATCATATATTTAAAATTATTTTTTATCTTCCTCTTATTATTAGATTAGATTAGAAATAGAGGTGGTGGTACAAGAAATCTTGCTCCACGGCATCCATCCACCAGGCCCCATCTGACGGGCCCTTTTTTAAATGCATCCCCCAGGAAAATTTTCCCATTTAAGGGCCAAGAGACCCAAAGCTAACCAGTCATCATCCATCCATCCAGTTACCTTTCAGATGGTACACACACACAGCTTTGGCCTGTGACTTTTCATTGATACCTTATTTTTATTTATGTCGGCCCCCCCCTCCCTCTCCCCCGCCCCTCTCTTCCCCCCGGTTATCCTTTGATTTTTCCCACTCAGAGTGGCAACAAGGCTTTTTCAAAGTGAGCCAGTCAAATTCACAGACTAGCAGAGCTTGGCCTTGGGCGTGTTTGCAGACGATATCGCTTATTTACAAGCGACACCAGTCTGGTAGTGTGCCCATCTATAAGTAAGGACAGCTGCGAAATACACTTCCACAGAAGTTTCTACTTCAGTTGGAACATTAAACAGCAACCTTATTTTGGGCTGGAATTTTATATTTGCCATTGAAGGGCTTAATAATTTTCGCATCTGTTGTGTTTGATCATTTGCAAGTGATGGGGATCGAGAACACACGACCGTGATGTCCTCAGTCTGGCTCTCTACCGACTGCACCACGGCCGCCACTCCTCTTATTATTAAGTACGCATATTTGTGAAAAATGGAAGATTTCTATCCAATTGAGTGAAAATTGCTCTACTAAATTTACGCCAAAGTGTTTTATTTTGAAAATTCACGACTTGTTGTGTACATTATTTGTTGTGAAAAATAATGTGTAGACAATATTGACACAGGAATAATTCAAAATATAATTATCGTTTCATGTCTTTTGTCGTATGTGAATGTTTTTCCTTGGCATAACAGCAGAGTCACAACTTCGCAAAGCCACCAAAAAGCAGCAATTTGTTATCAGTTCACCATTGTGTTATTCTGTCCCTGTTGCGAGATGAATTGCACATCGTGGACAATCCGTCCGAGCATCTTCCGAAGCCAAGAAAAAAAGCCTAAAGTAGGTGCTAATGATGCACAAACACGCTGGCTTAGTTACACATTTATTCTAATGATTTACAATTGAGTTTCGCATGTGAAGACTGTGACATTCTGTTGATCTTTCTGGCTGCAGCGCTGCAGTTGCTCTCAAAATCACTTGCGACTGATGATAAAGAATCTCGATAAACAATTAAGACAAGAGTATCGCGTTTGTCGCTAATTATAGTGACGATGAGAAGTTATTTCTCCATTGATTGTTTCTACATTGAGTCATTCAAAGAAGATTTTGTCACAACACAAGTAGGAAGCTACTTCCTGACTTTTCGACATAAACAACGCATGAATAAAGAGGAGTTCTTATTGAAATTTTCATGTTTTTATTCAGTTTTCCAGTCTAATTTAAAAATTTCTTTTTATACATGTGCATACATAAAAACACATTATGCGCCTTTATATTTATGTGTAATATATCCTCTGTAAATAAATAATACTACAAAATGAAGATGAAAGTAAATAAAAACATATTATTTTTGATAAAACATTAAACTTCTTTGGATGTCCGTTTTAATGCTGGGGTTTAAAAAAGCTTCGCGTACGCCCTCTTTCATAATAAAATGGAATTTGACGGACGTGACGCTAGATCGCGTTTGTTATTGTTTGTGCATCGATGCAATGTTTGATATTTTCGCTCTTGCACAGTACAATTGCCATATATTTGTGCTAAAACAATCTTACTTCATCAATGATTTAGCGTAAGTGTGTTTTTCTTAGTTTTCATTCAATCCATTAAGTAGAAAATTGTTGTATTGTCAATGAAAACAACTCGGGCCAGATGTGAGGTTATGTTTGAGTGTGAATTTATGGAGAATCCTGTTTATTTCACATATTTCCTACTAAATAAGCCTCTAAATAGAATTGCAGTACATCAAGAGACATGTGTTGTGCAGTAATAACATAGTTTGAATTCATGGAATGTGATGAATGTCTTCCCAGAAGATAACACTCTGACCGTGAATGGCTTTCCGAGAAAATCCACTCCCAGACGCCCTTCATTGATGCAAATATCAAAGAATCATCACACTCTGCATTAGTAGTATTTATTGGGTGGCCATGGCGAGCTCGCCGGATACTCAGGCGTCACTGTATGGTATCTGCTATCTTCTCCGGGTGTCACGGGACGCGCCTTGATGATGTACTTCTTCCTGTCTAGGATGGTCTGGTCGCTGGGACGCAGTACTGGGAGCTGCAAGGAGACAAGAAAAGATGTAACATTAATCCAATTTCGGGCAGTGAATGCAAGAGATACTCACTTAAAGGCTAGTGAATCTATGCTTATTCTACTTTCTATTCCCAATTGTGTAAAAATCATTCTACAAGAACAAAACAGGAAGAGAAATATGATGTTATTTAGTCGTGCATCATGCTCTGTGTCTCTCAATACCCCGCCCAGAAATCACAAGAAGCCTATTTGCTCTTACCGGAATGCATTTGCATTGGTTCTCGTCGAAGAACGTGCCCGTTGTGCAACCCTTCGATTCGCGACAGCGACAGTTGCACGTGCTGCTGTCCCAGATCTTCAGCTCACTCTCCTTCAGACACTTGCTCTGGTCCTCCAAGTTCGTGCAGACACATTTGCACTGGGAGCTCTCGTAGCGCTGGAAGCGATTGCAGTGCTCCTCCTTGACGGCGCAATTGCAGCGGCACTTCGTGTGCTGCTCCACAATGATCGGCACTCGCTCCACGAGCTGCATGCGCGTTCCGCCCGTGTACTGCGACTTGATGATAGTGAACGTGAGCGTCTCCGTCTCGGTGGGCTGACAGCTTAGCAGCCGATGCGAGCAGCAGCCGCCGCAGCGCTTCACGCGCGTGCACTGCGGATAGTACACGACTGAGGGATCGTTCTCCGAATTGACGGGGATCAGCGGCACCAGAGTCATCTCTGGCGTGCACAGTCCAGGCTTTGGCGTGATTGCCAATCCTCTCTCCACATCCTCGCTGGCAAAATGTCCTGCAACAGGGAGAATAGAACTTAACACCATTTTCTCTCCACTTTCCAGAGCGTCTCAGACTAATGGATCCCAACGTCGTGCTGCGCAAGTTCGTGGATCTGTGTAATAGTCGACAGAGTGATCAAATCTCGCTGTACTTTGCATCCAATGGCATTGTCGATTGGTATGGCAGAACACTGAAAGGGCCAAGGAAGATTACGGACTTCTTCCGCTTCAATAATCAGTACAATCACAATTTCGCCGATGGAAAGCAGTGTTCGCCATTTGAAAGCAGAGAAACCCACAATTCCACGTAAGTTTGATGCTTTAATTTATTCTATTCTCCAGTGAATAGAGTCATTTTCGCAATATGCATTCCTTTATCGCAATCGCATGCCATTTAAACTCGATTGCTTATTCTTATTGGAGTGATTCAGTGTTTGAGATTGCTTTGCTCACAAAACTATTGGAAAGTCAAATAGGACTAAAAATTGAGTGTATTAAACTCTTATAAAACCTGCACAAAAGTAGTATAAGGAACAAATTCACAAATCGGGACAATTCAAAGAAATTTCAAACCAAACTCAAATAAATAATTAAATAGAGAACTTATATCCTTGATTTAAAGAAATCTTGCATGTGAAATTGAACTGCATTGGAATATATTTGGCAATGTGCTGATTTATCAAGGCTCAAGTGGAAGGCAAACTGGTTGGAAGAGTTTGAATGTGAATCTAATTTGTATCGCATCTCTTTCATCCTTCAGACGACAAATCCCACCGGAAAACCTTACGGAACCCAGTGAAGATCGCACTTCTGCAGCGGATTCCGCCGAGGCGTCGAGTGATAATGTGCCATCCAGCAGCGGCTTCCTGACGCCGCCGCAGCAGAGCGGCGCAATGCCGCCGCTGCCCGCGCTGACGCAGGGCCGCGTGTTCAGGAAGATGAGCAGCAGCGACGATGAGGACGACGGGCTGTGTTCGGTGCGGAAATTCCAGGCGGATCTAGAGGAGTCCAGCACGAGTGGTCTGGTGAGCATGGAGTCGCAGGGCAGTGTTTCGCTAAGCCGAAAGAGGACGGCGAGTGTCGACAGTGATGTGCCGAAGAAGCGCTTCAAAGATGCGGACTGTGATAGTGGTGTCGTCGAGGGCGGTGATTGCGGGCAACTGACTGATCTCTACTCGGAACTGAGGCACATCGAGGCGTTTGGGCGTCTCGAAATGGTGCGTAGGACTAAACACCGAGGTGTTCACGCGACTCCGTCGACGAGCCACGGCGATTCGCTCAACTCGTCACACTTTTTGGAGAGATCGGACGCTTCGCCCGAGGCGACGTCCAGTCAGTGGGTGAAAGAGACGAAGCTGAACATCTCCTATCGGTTGCACCGCAATCAGAGTGATATTCAGTTTGCGCTTGTTGTGTATGAGAATCTGACCAAGAGACCGACAACCAGGCGAAATTTGATCAATGAATTCGGCAGTCTCGACGTTGATAAGACACCGAAAAGTGTATCGCCGCGAGGAAAGAAGCCTGACAAAGTGAGAAAATGTGTCACAGCCAAGAAACCACTGAGATTTTGAACCAATTTGCCATTTCGACATCCTCCAAGAAGGACCAATTTTCTAAAATTCATAAGTAGTTGTAAGATGAAATTTTTTCATATCTCTAATTTCGCTAATGAAAGTCGCTCAGAAATTTGTCGAAATTTGACAGATATCGTACTAAAAGTGTGTTCTTTTCCGAAAAGAATATAATAATAACTTTCAAATTAGGAATATTGTTCAATAAATTGCACATTAATTGTAAACTTACCGGCAATTTCGCGCGAATCCACAGAATCCTTGTCGATGAACTCGTCCACAAATTGTGAGATGTTTGTCACGGTGCTCATTTTGCGGAGAAGATCGACTGGAATCTGCAATGGAGACACGAGTTGTGATTCATCGCGCGATTGCGGATTGAATGGGTAATGAATAAAAGCGCCCTGTGAATCACTGGCGGGCAGCAGTGTTTTACCTCCATGCCGTCGTCGGCGATCGAGAGCGGCAGATCGAAGGCGGGGTCGTAGCTCGAGCGGCGCTTCACGTTGACACTGGACTCGGGGAATGCCACATGATCGCCTGCCAGTGTTGTGGCCAGAAATGTGACCGATGTGCTAATTGCCAACACCAAATTCCACATTGTCACGCCGACTGCAGAGCCTGAAAGAGGCGCAGATCATTAGCGACACTCGGGGAGACTCTGTTTTCTCAATAGAATTCCATGGGGGCACTCATTGAAACGCAAATCTCCACCGGAAGTATATTTTTGAATATCAAACGCGACCGTCGCATGAGCTGAACTTTAGGGGGTTTATCAGAAAAGAGTCTTGCACTCTTTGATTTCACCAAAATAATGCAAATTTAGTGAAGTGAGATTTGTCACACAATCGTCAAGTGTTTAAAAGCATTAATAACATATTTATGAGTTAAATTTCTCTGTCGTCTTGCATGTGAAGAGAATATAAACTTAACGACAAACACTGAGCAAATAAATGCTAGAAAATGGAGTGAAAAGAATCGCACAATTTCATCGCTTTTGTCGGTGGAAATCTCACTATTGTGAACCCCTTCATTGAACTCCAGTTAAGCCAATCGTCCGGACGGAACTTGTGAGGTGAATCACAAAGAATACTACTGTGCGCCACTCTATTTACAATGCTTATCAAATATTATTACACACTATATTTTCTCTGATGTTTTTAAGCGCGCGTTGTTTTTTCACGACACCTCAAGACGGTGCACGTAGAGGTGCTGTGTGTGTTTAATTAGCAGCACAGCACACAAAAGTGTCTATATGAAATTGATTTGGAACAACACAAAATCGTGATGACCTGCGTCATCGAAAAGTGGGCAAAAGCGGGCAAAAATGTCGCGTGGGATTTGGGTCAAGATGCTCGAATCTTGGGACAAGCCGCGCGATGTGAAGTAATTGGTCTTTTGTGCACTCGCGGTGACAATAGATTCGGGAAGTGTGACCACATTGAGCCCAAGGTCGCGACCTCAGGGAATGCCTGACGGAGCGACCAGAGGGGGAAGAGGGAAGTGCTCGCATTCCAACGCACCTGTCCAGCGCCTTTTCCTCACAGGTAAGTCACTCTCCGAAATCTCGATCACAGACACAGTGCGCGAAAAGCGTCCCAACGCTCACGAGACCTCAGAGAAACTGCCTCGCGAGTACTGAATGAAAAGTGAACAGTGCAAATTGGCGAGAGTGAGACAACAAACTTTCCACGATCAGGTACGATCACAAGGTGCTTGTGCAGCGCAACACCTTTGCGCTATATTGGACTCCATTCACACCGTCAAAGCGCCAAAGGAAGTCCCCATCTGAATTGCGTTCCAATATTCATTCTCTAGTCGTAAAAATAGACACACTATGGAATAGAACCCTGTCAATTAACATTTCTAATCACAGTCGTGGACGTGAAAAAAAACGTCATTCTGGGAAATTTCGCACATGAAAGATAAGAATGCAATGTAACGAAACATTATTTTGTTATTGATGTTGTCTAGAAAGCATGTTAGAGAATTCCATCTGTGGAGCATGTGAACATGTCCGTTATTATTCAAAACTTCTTACCCATCAGAGAAATTCTTCGCTTCAATTTGCAAGCATATTAATTGCCCAATTTATCCGTACCTTTCTTGGAAGAGCGAATTAATTATAGAATCTTTATCAAATTAATCTTTTTTTTATTTTCATTATTTCAATTCATATTTAGAATAAAAAAAGCCAAAAATTCAACTGTAAACGACCTTTGGCCTCTTAGGCAATAACAAAAACAAGGGGGTTTTAATGTAGCTGGTCAAGAGGTATTGTTTTATGAACACTAGATGATTAATTTTTCCATTAACCTTATTTCCCAACTGAAAAGTAGTATTTTTAGTTAACCGAGACCGTTGAGGAAATTTCGTGGGTCGCTTTTCGCTAATATTGAGCATAAGAGGCATCTTAAGATAAGAGTTGCCTTCGTAGCAAGACTTTGAACAAGACCCAGTCAGCTGGGTTGACGTTTTGTTGTGTTTTCACTGTGGTTGTCAGACAAAGAGAGTTTCTTGGTCAACAATTCTTTCTCTATGATTTCTCCCAGTTTGTCGCACTCCTAATTGCTCGTGAAAGCCCGTGAAACTGCGTTGGCGTGATGTTCAGCGAGACAGACACGTCAGTGACGTCGTCTGAGGACTTGACGGCGGAAGAGGCTGCGCTGGATGAGATCCAGGACAAAAATCTGGCTCTGGAAGAGGTGATAATCAACCAGTATGCCCAGAAGGTGATTGACTTCAGTTCACAGTACGGCAGCGACACCAGCATCTCCTACACGGCGTACAACATCACGGGCAGGCCGTCTAAGTTCCCGGATTACGGTGACTTTCCGGAGACCTTCGCCATGGTGAGAGTTTGGCTGATAATCCAATTTGTGCCGGGGCGATCGATAAGGGTGACATTTTGTCTGCTTGCAGAGAACATATGGGCCGTGGTGGGACATCGCGCCGTCCACCATGCGCGAGCTGCAGCCCAGCAACATCCAGGACATTCCAATCCATGACTTCATTGTGGTGGAGTTCGAGGAGTTCGTCATCCCGCACGCGATCTCCATCTATGAGACTTACAATCCCGGCGCCATCGTGAAGATCTGGGCCTTCTTCAGCACCACCGATACCTGGCACTGCCTCTGGTCGTCCTATCCCGATCCGGACGTGGAGAAGTGGCCGCGCAAATTCGCGCCGGAAATCAAGCGGATTCCCCTGCCAACGAAGATACTCCGCCTGGAGTTCAATCACGTCTTCCTGGACTACTTCACGGAGATTGACGGGATCGAGCTGACTGGGCGGAAGTGCGATGTACGCGATGTGAGCGATTCGGCCACGCGGAGGAGCAAAAAGGGCCCCATTCAGCGGAAACTCGAGAGCGTGCAGTTCAAGCTGCGCCAAATTGAGAACCACACGGACATCCTGAAAGACTTCCTGGCCAACGACCTGGGGAACTTCATGAAGGAGGCCGGACTCGTACCTGAAGAGATTGAGGACAATACTCCACAGATAACACTTAAAGACTTGCCCGTGAGTGCAAAGAGGAAATCTCTGGTTTTCAGATACTTTTGACGCTGTATCCTTCGTTTCAGTGCGAGATTCTATTTAAAATCCTGTCCTATCTGGACCTCGTGTCGATATTCCGGACGGCGCAGGTGTGCAGGAAGCTGTACGACGTGGCAACGGATCCCTTCCTCTACCAGGAGATCAATCTCAAGCCCTACTGGCACTCGGCGTGCGATGAGCTCCTCGCCACGCTCACGAAGCGCGCCACGCTGTTGAAGAAGCTGGATTTGTCCTGGTGCGGCCTTTTTCACGTCATCACGCCGTCCGTGTTTAAGGAATTCGTGCGCAACTGCTGCAAAAATCTCACCCACCTTCGCCTGAACTCGTGCAAGTTCATCAATGCTGGCTGCATGGAAATCGTGGGCAGTGTTTGCGTGAATCTGCGTGAGCTCTGCCTGCGGAACTACACAAAACCGCCCAGCGTTCTCAACTTCCACTGTCTGAAGAATCTGCGCTGCCTGGAGAGACTCGATCTCTTCCGCACGCAGATCGACTCCGACCTGCTGCTGATGACGCTGCGCTACAATCCTGCCCTGAAGCATCTCAATCTCGGCATCTGCAGCGCCACGGTCAACATGGACGACGTGGCCATCCAGATCTCCAGATACAATCGCTCGATGGTATCGATCGACATGTGGAAGTCACACTATCTCTCGTCCGTTGGCCTACTGGCGCTGTCGCAGTGTCACGACCTCGAGGAGGTGGACTTCGGCTGGTGTCTGCGCGAGGAAGCGTCTCCTGGGGAGAGCCTCAAGATCCTCCTCAAGAGCTGTCCGAGGCTCAAGAAGGTCTTCCTCGCCGCCATTCGTGGCATCAACGATCGCGATCTGGAGAACATTACGGAATTCTGCCCGAATCTCGAGCAGCTGGACCTCATGGGCGTCCTGGGCATCACGTACGACATGTGCTACAAGATCCTCAGCAAGTGCCACAAGCTGAAGGTGTTGGATCTGAGTTTCTGCGATCAAATAGACGAACTTCAGGTGCGTTGAAATTTTAAACATCCACGAAATACTCAGATAAATCTTCCGAATTCGTCTTTTTCTTTCGCTTGTTTCTTCTCACTGTAGAACTATTTTTCTCTTCCAGATTGCTCTCTGGCGCGACGTCTTTGGGGTCAGTATTAAGCGGAATTTCGAGCCCCTGTTCACCTCTTTCTCCCTCAACTAAAGTAGTCAATTGTGGAATGGATATTTTTGCAGAAAATCAAAAGACAAAGCTATGCGTATTTTTATACCGTTCACTTGTGTGCATGTGTGTAATCTTTGAAGTCAATTTACACGATATTTAAATCAATAAATATTAAATATATGATTGACGAAATGAGTTTTCGCGAATTTAGGAATTTTTTAATGAACGCGCGGAGCGCCAAAAGTGGTGAATAAGATGCGGTGTGAAGATTGCCATCATCACTGGTGCCGCCATGTTGTTTGGTGAAATAGATCGAGCCGTCAAAATCTCGGTGGTTCAGTGTGAAGTTGTCCCCTTTGGCCATTGAGGCACCTCTTGGAACTGTGGATTTTTCTCTCTTGGATTTTCAGTGGAAAACCTCCATCGAGACTTGGAATTTCTGTATGAAATACATCCTCGGACACTGTTGAGGGTGATGTGAGTGGAAAACTGTGTGGAAAGCGAGTGCAAATGTGTGAAAAAGTGCTTGGAAAAAAGTGACTCCACGACGATGACTTGACATTACTTTTTTTGGAAGGTACCTTTTGTGGCTAAAATTTCGCCTCTCGCCATCGCAAGGGTGGCTCCTTGTTGTGCTGGGGTTTCGCCCAGCGGCGCCCGCCGGGGCTTTGTGGGGCCAAAGTGGGACGAAATGGGGTCTCGTGGGCAGAGGAGAACGACCGAAATAGACTCGCAATCTTGAGCAGGTTCCGCAAGATGGGCCACTTTTCTCGGCCTCAACCGAGACTTTGTGACCTTTCTTGGGGGATTTTCCGGCCCACACGCGCACCCGCCGGGAGTAGGAGCCCCAGCTAGTGGGATTTTGGGCACCTCGAGGCACTCACTCTCTGCCTCCTGATACGTGTTCCATGTAATCGCGTTAATTACTTTGCGATAATTAGTCGTAATACGGTTCAGGTGATACGCCAAGACATTCCGTCTCTCTCGGGCGCGCGCTCTCTCTCTCTCACCACTTCCTGCCCACGGTGGGGCCGCGCTGCCCGCGACTGCCAGGGATTTCGCCTCGATCTTGCCCTTTTTCGCGCGTCCGGACGTCGGTGTCGGCGTATAAACAGGGGCACACAGAGCAGCTCGGTCTAGGTGCTCCACGAGGCTTTTTCGCCAATTAGACCTCATCATGCTTCTGGCTATAAAATGCCACTAAAACGTAATAATTTGTCGCTTTCATCGGCTAATGTCATGTACATTAAGACTTTTTTGCGCTTAATCAATTTTGCTGGACGCTAGAAGAAAAATGAAATATTTTCACTAAAATGTGCGCCGATAGCGCCACTAGCGGCAAGATCTTGCTGTTATTACTGAAAATGATCCAAACTTTTCAGCAGATTCTTCTCATTTTGATGAACTTCCGACAAAATGTCAGTAGAAATATGAGAGAACATTATGTATTTTGATGTAAAATGACTGGAAAATATCTTTTTGTCGTAACTATTCTCTAATATTTGCGTAGAAATTGGTAAAAGCAAGACACAAATTACATTCAGTTTCTTATTATCTCCAGTCCAGACAGTCCATTTGATGATTTTCTGTCCTTACAAACTTTGAACAGTCCAGAAGATAGTGTTGTTGACTGTGTGATGAGTTTCTGAGTATTTCTGCAGATTAAATTTTGCATGGCATCTTTTCCAAAGCGCCAAATTGCCCTTTTTCCCAATATCGATGGCATGTGAGATCGGAGAGTGGAATATCCGCTGAACACCTGGTGCAAGCCACGCTGCGCGGTGGAGATTTTGACGAGAAAACGGCCGGCACGAGACGTCTCGCGGGAGTTTGGTGGAACGGAGATCACCCCTGGATGTTGGGGAGCATTAATGTGGAAATGTACGTGCCGGGGGGATTATGGAGTGTGTGCAAGAGGTGCGCTTGTGGCGAAAATCCATCTGAGGATTTACTGTAGTGCATCGAATCGGAGAGAATTGCGCGAGTGTCAAAAGGCGGGTTGAATCTCTCTCCTTATCCAATGTGCTCATACGTCTGTGGGCCTCTCTTTTGCAGTGTGAGAGGAAGATAGTGGTGCTCGAGGAGAGGAGAAGTGATCATCAAGACAATATTCGTGTCCATATGCTGAAACATGGAATCTTCTCAGTTGACTGCCCAAATAATAATGCAGAAGGGCAAAAGAGGAGCAGCCGCCTTCATAAATGCCGACTGCACGTCAAATCGGGGCGGGCAGAGTGTCCACCTCGATCTGCTGCTCGACAATCTGCTCGATCCCGAGAAATCAATTGACAATAGTGAGACAATTGATTGGTGCAAGTGGTTGATAGCAGGTGGACGAACGCCGAGCGAATTTTCGGCCATCGGTGAGTCTTTTACACTTTTTTTGTGCAGTTCTGCAATGCTTTGGGGGATTTTTTTAATGATATAATGGTCGGTTTTGCAAGAGTTGTTCTATTTTATGTCAATGCTGATTAGCATTTACATTGGCCGATAGTTGCACTGAACGCACGCCGAATGCGGAAACTCACCTTATGTCCCCACCAATTTCACTGCGATTGTTTCAGTCGAGTGAAAATCAATCGCAGATAAGGGAGATTCCATTGAGGAAATATCTCTTTCATCCACTTCTTGGTCATGCTGGTGGAAAAAAAGAGCCGTGCAAAGAGATGTGGAAGCAGTAGCACGTGTGTAGATTCACATTTATTTACTAATTAAATGGGGAAGGTCACTGAACCTCCAATGTACAGCTCTTTTGCTCTCCTCTTCAACGCTCGTTCTCTCTCTCGCGCGTCCGTCGCGTAATTTTGCCGTCTAATTTGACGGTGAACCAGAGAGAACTCCATCAAATTAGATCTTCATCAAATCATCGGCATCTCACGTGAGAGAGTTCACTTTTTTTCCTGTGAGATCCTCAGGATCCTTTTAGATCTAGACTGCGAGAGTATTGAGCATCTTCTCATGCTGAGAATTATGTAATTCAGCGCCTCCTAAAGGCAATAGACTTTAGCTATCTGATTTCATTCATGGGGATTAAAGGCATTCCTTCATTCAAGTCATATTGCGTCCAATAAAGGCATTCATAAAGTGATAAAAGACAAAGATATTTGTAGCTCCTGGTTTTTACCACAGATCTTCAAGCCTATACTGCTTTTCAAAGGTCAATAATTTCCTCCATTGAACAAGCGAGAACTCAGCGATGTTCTTCAATATGTTATTGTTGCGTGAAACCAAAAGTTTGACTGATGATCACTTTTCCCATGTGATTATTTATATTAAAAGGCTATTGAATTGAAGGGAAATTCCGCCACAGGGCAGAGTAGAAAATAAGGTTATGTCCATCAACGCGATCTACACACAACTTGGAAGTTCAATAAACTGTCGATCAGCATCTGATTTTATGAGACTTCTTCACAATCTGTCTCTTTTCCACACACAAGAGCTCTCCATCTCAGCAAACTATTTACAAGAGCGAGCCCGTGAGTTTGTAACAAGTGATAAAATGTATTTGAAATTCCGCAAGTTTTACCTCTTCATCGTGTTATTATTATTATTATTATTTTGTCCTCCCTCTTTTCTTCTTCCCCAAAGTAGATTATTTCAACATCTCTTTGCTCTCTTGGACTGTTTTATTGAGGAATTGATCGAGAGCTTTGTTGCCGATGGATTGTAAGAAGAAAGAATACGCAAAAGACTAGCAATTGAGAGAGAATTTTTCTTCTCAAGTTCGCGGTCGTTCTTATTGTGTTGGCAATTACTGCAATTTTTGACAGTGTATTGCGTATGCATGCAAAAATGCGAAGATTTTGTCCGTGGAATTTTTATCTTTATGCATAACGCAATTTTGTGGCAATGCCATATGAATGGTTATTTAACTGACGCTGCGAATACGAAGGATTTCAGTTTGATCTTCTAATTATTCATTGCATTCATTCCAGTGTTGGTGTTTTGTGGAATCGATCGATATTGATTGGATTCATTTTAAGTGGTTCTCGTGCATTATTGAGTATCGAAAGTCCAGAAATGGGACGAATTGTAATAATGCTTGACAAAGTGGGATGTTATTGAATAGAATTGCTTCTTTAAGCTCCAAATTTACTGTTAAAATTACCAACTTGGCACTTTTAACTCTTGTCATTCCTTTAAATTGTGTGTATTTTGAATACATCTTGAGATGTGAACAGGCACAATTATTGTATATATTTTATTTCTGCACTTCAAACTACTGAACAGTGTTTAAATAATAGGTGATTTTACAAGTACATTTTAGATGGTTATATTTATTTGGCAAATGATTCACTTCACATCCTCCGTTTAGAGCATTTTGCGACAATGTAATGGAATGTATTTCATCACATTGTGTGTGAAATAATTATTATGCTGACTAGTCTAAAATTTGTCAACGCTTGAAGATAAATTTAATCATGACGTTAGATCTGCGACTAAGCATTTTATGACTTACAAGAAAATCATTGTGGGGTTTTTTGCCAGACATTTGAACTATCGATTCCATTGTCACGGAATTATCTTTAATTTGCTAAACACGATTCGTGAACCAATTGTCATTAAAAGGTAGATTTTTTGACAGAATATTTTATACCTTGACAAGGTCACTCACACAAATTAGGCGTGCGCGAAAGAGTGAGAAAGAGAGGCAAATAATAAGACAGGTGGAATTTAAAGATTCATAAGAATATGTATTTCGTTATTTTTTGCTTGTCTAAGAGCTCAAAAGAATACATATATATGTACAGAGGTAGACAAAATGTATATTTTGTGTTTATAGAAAAAGAGGATTTTTTCAAGATTTGTGTGCCGAGAAATGAAACTTCTTGGGGCTCTTTTATATAGTGTATTTCCGGTTTCTACGGACCGTGCAATTGATTTTCTAGAGATCACGAAATCACGGAAATTCGCGAACTTTTGGCGTTGCGGTCAACGCAAATGAATTTCTAGCCATTCTTGCCTTTTTGTCACATTCGAATGGGTCGCGTTTGGGTGCAAAAGAGTGAGAAAGAGACATTGGAAAAAATTGCAGAAGGAGAAATTTCTGTTTACTTCCCAACTTGTCATTTTTTATTAACACAAAATTTTCACCATCAATGTGTTTCTCTGCGGCCGGTGTGAATTGAATATGGTATGAGGCGAAGATAGAGCGAGAGAGAGAGAGAGAGGGACAACAAGATATTGAGGGGGTCGTTAAACTCCCAACCCGAAAACGAATATTTGGAGATTTTCTCGCTTTGGAATTCTCTATCTCACTCTGCTATTTACTTTTATCTTACTCACTTGCAAGGCGAAAATCCAATGCGATATTCGTTGTTTTATATCCTGAAATATTGTCTCTTGCCTTGATGGCTTTTTACATTCTGTAGGATGGACAATAGTCAATCTGTGACTTCTTCATCTTGTCACTACATTGAAAATGTTCTTTATATGTAAAGCAGATTCGCTGCTAAGCAGAAAAAAGTGTCTATAGTTGAAATTGAAGCACGTTAACCTTAGCATTCGGAAAACTGACCTTTATCTGCGTCTGCCGTTTTCATGTTACTGGCAAGAAGAGACTGATGAACATATAATATACTGCCAAGTATATAAGTTTTTTTTTCTTCAAATTTAATTATGTATGAAAACGGTCACGGAAGACCTCTCAATGTGCTAATTTTATGCGAAATTTAATTATTTATATCACTTTTTGTTGTCCACCAGCATTTTCTAACTTGCCACACAAATTTAAGGCTTAAGAGAAAAGTTATAAGTGAAATTTCTTTTCTGGCGCATTTGTGGAAGTTTCTTTGATATGTTCTAAAATAAATTACAACTTTGTGAAAACAAGTTTTACACATGTAAAGAATATAATTTTGCATTTTTCCACCAATAAATTGATGAATATGAATTTTTAGTCAATTTATGTGTTAAATAAAATATTCAGAGAATACAATAAAATGATTAATAGCCGGTTTTTCCTTCTTAGAATTGCAAGTTTCAAGAATTGATTGAGTGCTTGGCAATGGAGAAAAATGGGTGAAAGATGATTCGAATGTTAATTTGAGTTAATAGGGTTCAAATTCAACAATGACATGTGAAATTATGTGCTTAAGTAATATGTTAAAGAGCAATAAAATAGAAAATTTATTTCTTTGCCTCTCTCATCAAAAATGAATGATTTGAATTCAATTTCATTCCCTTTCATCACACTTGTCGCTTTTCTTCTTGCCTGTGGTTCTTCTATTTCCCACAAAATAAATCCATCGACCGGGACGAACTGGTGAGCGGGGGGAGGAAATGGTGAAGACATTATTAAAAAATGTTATATTGAATGTGAAATGTTCCATCGATCACTTGGTCACACAATTATTCAAACAGACGAGAGTTGGAGAAAAAGGGCCACGAAAGAAAAATGAAGAGAGCAAAATAATGATGGAAAAATGCAGCCAGAGAAAGAGAGAATGATAGAGAGATTTAGTCACGGTTCTTGGATTTCAATGGGCGATTACACGAATATATTCATTGACAATTATGGTGGAATCTTCAGTATATTATTGCTGGTCGTGTATTTTGCCATAGATTCTTCTTTATCCACTTCCTCGTGCATGTTTCGTCATGCGTTCTCAATTTCGTGATTCTTTATAGTTTGCATATTCTTTGGGCTTTGGAGCAATGAAAGAAGTTAAATATTTGTTTAAAATTTCAGGTAATTGATTAGAATTATGTAATTATGGCACTTTGTGCTAAAATTCTTGGAACAAATAAAATTCATTATGACTTTATCTAGAAGTGGAATCACAGCGTGAAATGGTGAAATATAATTTGGAGTGCATTTCATTAAAATAAAAATTTTCTGTAGTTCACAAGCCCTTCAAAATGCAAGTTTACGAATCTCGACTATTAATTCATGAACGTAAATTAACAATAAGATCTTAATCTTTCTTCACATTCGGCTAAGGAAATGAATTTTTTGTTAAAGTAAAGCTTAAAAATAATACAAATAATATGCTTTTTTATCTAATTTTTGAAATCTTTTTAAGACATTCATAGAATGTTTTTCCCATTAACTTTATTCGGAAACATATGCAATGCATGGAAATGTGTAGAATTCGCAGAAGTTTTCCTTCTGTTTTTGTGTTTAAGAGAAAATAAAAGCCAATAATGATATCTTGTGGGGTATTTTGATGCGAATAATGGGGAACAAGACACAAGGGACTCACAATTTCCGTCCATGCTTGCGAGCAGTATTTCAGCTATGTAATGTTTACCCTTCTCCGAATGTGTCGTTTCAGTTCGTGGCTTCGATAATCACGCAAAGTGTGGCCTGGTGTGGATCCCTCATGTGGTGGCGTATCGATGCCGGACTTGCGGCATCTCGCCGTGCATGTCAATATGCCGAGAGTGCTTCAAGAAGGGCGACCACTCGACGCATGACTTCAACATGTTCCTGTCGCAAGCCGGCGGAGCCTGCGACTGCGGCGACACGTCCGTGATGAAGGCCGAGGGCTTCTGCACGGACCATGGGATCAACTATTGTGCCAACAATGCGCCAGTGCCGGATGATCTGATGTCCGTGGCGGAGGCGATTATGCCGCGGCTTCTGCTGCGCCTGCTGCAGCACTTCCGGGAGAATGGCAACATCCGTGCGGCTGATCCATCCTACAGTTACAGCAAGGCGGCCAACGAGTGCGATGAGTACTGCAGTATGTTAATGGAGTTTAACAACATGGGCGAATTGATGCGGCGAGTCATGACCAGAGCATTAATTAATGCAGAGGTAACAAATATAATTTATATATATAGAAAAAGAAGTGTATTCAGAATAAAAACATTATGAAGTTAGTAATATTGCACAACATAATTTTATTTTTATGTTCTTCGTATTCTTTTGCTTATTCCCGGTTTTTTTTCTCTCTATTCACCTTAATGCAAATTTATTTAGTCTCTTATTTACCTTTTTACAGTTGAGTGATCACAAAAAGTCCATAGTTTTTAGTAAAATTGAAAATATCATTGAAATGCAAATTTAATTTACTTTGAGAATCAAGCCAAGAAACTCTCTTCCTTACTTTGTTGTATAGTCTTCACGAGGAATGTTCCATATGATATGATTAATTGTAGTGTTTCCCTTGAAAAGTTGCAGGATATCATGTAGTTTGTAAATTAATCATATCATTTAATACACTTGTGCAATGGTTAGATAGTTTGTAAGATAGCATAATTATAAATAAAAAAATGCAGTTCTTTCTCGGGAATCACACATCTACATTTAATCTGTTTGAATGCTTTTTGCAGCTGTACAAGCAATTAGTTGAGCCACCATTTCCTGACAACAAATACGGCAGATATTTGGCATCCAGCAAGAAGAAGTACGAAGACGCTGTGAGGGCGTTCCCGAGTCCTGAGCCGCCGAATGAATATGAGCATTTGCCGGCACTTGGCAGGACAATCGCGCACATCACGCTTCTGCAGGAGTTCATCTTCTGGACGTTTAAGTTTGAGTTCCCGCAGAATATCGTGTGCTTCCTGCTCAACATGCTGCCGGATCAAGATTACAAGGTGAGCGCAATGAAGATGTAATGGGCGTTGTTGTCTTTGCTTGTGTGACGGAGAGTGAGTGAAATAGAGAGTGATATGTTGGGAATCAGTGGGAGTCTTCCCTTTTTTCATTCACGAGATTCTCTCTCGTTGATTTATGATGATGATGATGGTTGTGACAGTGACTTTCATCAAATTAAACATTTACATTTGCTGTGATATAAGAATTCTCCCGAAAACATTTACCATTTTTAATATTAATGATAATTGCAGGAACACTTGACGCGAACCTTTGTGATGCATTACAGCAGAATTCCCAGTGTGTTGGAAATGTCCAAAGACCCGGACACTTTGAGCAATAGAGTAGTGCACATGAGTGTTCAATTGTTCTCTAATGAGAGTCTGGCTCTGAAAATGGTGGAGGAACTGAGCCTGCTTCATGTTATGATAATTAGTCTCAAATTGATGATGTCGAAAATTCTCATTCTCAACACTCTTCATGGTAAGTGTTAAGAAGCATTAAGATTGCCAGAGGCATGCGCAGAGACATTATTTCGTGGCGGCGATGAACATCGCGTGTAAATTAAAGCATTTTCGTTTCATATGAAAGAAAGAGAAAAATGAGCAATAAGGAGTTTGAGGTAAATTTATTGGTCAAAATGCACATTTATCCGACAATAATTTACCACAATCGTGACGCTTTTGGACGGCTATTGGCCGGATAAAATGTTCATGCGCAAGTCTCTAATTAAAAATGCTCTGATCTGATGGTAAATTTTAAAAAAGTGTAACATTTATATTTAACCAAGAAATCTTTTTCCCATCTTACTCTCGATAGATCCGGACAAGAATTTTCACTTCGTCATCGACTGTGCCAAGAGAGTAATGAAAGAGCACTGCTACTGGCCACTCGTGTCGGACTTCAACAATGTGCTGTCACACGAATCTGTGGCCCTTGTCTTTCTGCGCGATGACAATCTCATCGATATGTGGTTCCAATTCCTCTCGATGCTGCAGGGCATGAATGTGAATGTCCGCGAGACTGGGAGTCATATTGAATTTGAGCCAAGTTCATATTATGCTGCCTTTTCGTGTGAATTGGAGGCCAGCGCATATCCAATGTGGTCAATTATTTCACACCTTCGCGATTCGGCGCATGCTGATCTGGCGAAGAAGATCATGAGTGTTTGCGTGAGTTATCTTCAAGACTGGTTAGAAGCAATTAATTTTTATCATCCAAAAATCGAAAAGGTGAGACTATTTCCAAGAAGTTTGAGGAAAGCGGAAACAGAACATAATTTTTTTACTCACTGTCTTTATCTTCTTTCTTCCCATCTCTTTCTGAATTAGAATGAAATGATGCACGCGTCTTTTCACTTTCCATTACATCGATATCTCGCTGCGTTCACATGTCAAGCGGTTAGAACAATGGGAATGCCACTGAAAGACATTCTGCCTTCGCCGGATCTCCTTGCACTGCTCATGATGCATCCACTGCGTGTGCAGGTGAGTTTTTCATTCGTTTTCACCTCTATTTCTCATTCTTTGCTTACTTTGGGCTGACAACTGTGGCAAAATACTGAATGTATATCGTTCATATTAGTCACTCAGCATTAAAATTTTTAGGTCATTAAATGGACATTATCGTTTTGTAAGCGGAGTTCATGTCTGCACAGCGTGTTTGTTAGATAATTGACTCAAATTTTATGGTTTAGTGAAATGTGTACTGAATTTCTTTGCATAACTCACAAGAAAATGGGTGTTTTCGATAATTCCGGTGACCATTGATATAATGGGTTTTCTCTACTCTTTCTTTCTCTCTCTCTCTCTCTCTCTTTTCCGTCTGGAATTGCCGGTAAATGATCTTTTCCCTCTGACTCATTCAACAAGTTAGGGAAGAGGATTAAATACAAAGTGATCATGTTGTTTAATTTATTGTAAATACAATTCCTATATTCTTCACTGTTAGTTGTATTCAGTGAATTACACTTATTAATCGTTTTCTTCACAATTCACATTGAGGTTGTTGCCTAAAATACCATTTTTACATGACAGAATCTGAACTTTATTGTTTACACCTCATTTTATGCTGATGTTTTCGTACAATGTTTCAGCACAAAAAAATTCATACGTGGGAATGTTATTCTTGTGATTTCTTCTGTGGTTTTTTATACTAAAAGTGTGACACCCACTTACTTGAATTGGCTGTAATCATCTTCATTTGGCAGGTGATATTGTTGATAAAGGTTGCATATAAAATCTCTCTTATTCGTATATTGCTTAAATACATGGTTGAAAATCAATATCTTTGCCTATCCGTACGTGTCCCAGAGATCCTCTTGTCCGGGTTTCGGTGTGTAAACGTGTTGCGCCATGTTGTACACAATTATCTTCGGCGCCACGTAACCGCCAAAGAGTGGCAATCCTTTGTGATAAATACCGATGCCGGAAAGTGGCACTGGTGGCGATGAGACCACATCTTGGGCATCCAAGAATGGCACAGTTGTCTGCGCTGCATCGGCATCCATGTCAGTGTTGGTAAATTCAATGAATTGATTAGGCTTTGAGTCTAGCTGTGAACGGGCTTTGGATCTTGTTGGAATGTTGGGATTTCGCAGGAAGATTTGAGTCCTGACAAAGAAAATAACATTACAACTGTGAAATTTGATCGATTATCAGGGAATTCCTTACCTTTTATTAGCGCCGTGTCCAACTTCTGTATTGTCATTAGATATCCAATTGCCAACTTGATCCAATTTGCCAGTTTCAAAGTTGAATTCATGCACGCGAATCTCGAGATTGATTCTAGCACCAAATATGCGGAATCTAACTCCAGTTACGACGTGACCGGGATTGGCTAAGAGATCATCAAGATCAATAGCGCGCCTATTCCACTCCATTGTGTGATAATCGACGCCATTCTTGAGTCCACTGTCCAGCAAGCGATAACTATTGATGGGTTTCCAGTTCACCGTTGATCCATTGATCATTCCGCGGGAAAGTAATACACCCTGTTGGATCTGAAGATGCATGATTCGGTTGATCTTCCGGAAGCGAATCCCAACGACAACCCTGCAAAAGGTTTAAGTTATGATTACCGATTATAAAACTGATTGATTTGGGTATTTCTTCAGCCACTCACTTGTTCTCCTCGATGTCAGACACTGTGTCCCTCAGATTAAAGTATCTGTCAGACTTGTAGCCCTGCTCGTCGCATAGGCAGAAGCAATAGCTGCAGTGCCAGAAGAGCCAACGCCACCACGAGTCGACCTTTGTTGTTCCACGTGCGCACGTGCTCTCTTCACCCAACACTCGTCCATTTTCATAGCGAATGTACTCGTATCGGCGATTAGTGTGGAGTTTCTGCAAGGATTACAGTTGAAATTATTCGTATCTTTGCACATTTTTCGTTACTTTCTGAGAGAGTGTGGCAAAAATCCTAGTATAAAGTACAATCATACTCACCGATGGACAGATCCACATGTCAGAGTCCACATAAGTGCAATTGAGAATGCGTCCTTTGCACTGTGGCTGCTGTGCACAGTAGAGATCTTTGAAGCAACCGTGACTCTCGCTGAATGTGTAAGCGGCACAGTTTTCCTTGCACGTCCCATCGGTGTTCATGTCCACTTCATTCTCCACGTAGCCTTGCAGGAGTCGTGTAAATTGCTCATATGTTTCACCCTCAATGTGTACATCTGGATCGCAGCGCCACACCTCACGATCTGCACGCTCCAAGACACGCTGTACCAGCTCCTGTGTCTTCTCGGTGCGATTCTCGAAGCGTTGACGCATCAATTGTGGCTCTTGTGTGTAATTTCCTTTGCCGAAGGTCTTCAAGAGCATCCAACAGAATTGCATCATTGCATAACCCTTGAGTTCTGTCAGCGACACGGCATTGTACATTTGATAGATCACTTGTTGGGCTGCCTTTTGACTTGAGCACACTTGATCTTTCACTTCCTTCAGAGAGAAGAGTGGAAAAAAGAAAAAGACACAGTTAATATATAGGCAATAACTACTATTGTGGAATGAGAATTAAATGGGTGTTATTTTTTAGGTTTTGGAAGCAATATTTACCACCATGGCTTTGTAATACAATCCCTGATTAACCATGATGTTCTCAATTTTATCAAATGTCTCCGGAATTGGCCAGTGTTTGTCTTCAAAGACAGTGTCTGTGAAATCAATTGCTGACAATTCATCAAAATGATCCATATTTTGGAGGGGTTTCTCTAGTTCCTGACGAAAGACCTCAAAGAGATTATTGACCGTCATGAGATCTGTTTCGAGTAGTTTCCACTCATAAATCCGATCAAGTGTTGTCAATTCGTAATCCTCCATGTCATGTGTGATGTTATCAATGGCAAATATTTTGTGCATTTTGTACACGGGTTTCAGTATTTTGTCCGGATGGTGAATTCCAGCGCCACGATTGACAATTTTCCATGAGTGATCCTCGATTGAGAGGTAGTAATCGCGCAGTGTATCGATCACTGTGGCTCCCTTGCCAGCGAGAACACCATTGTCTGATCTCGCGATTAGCACGATCACTGCCAAGACACTTATCCACTTCATTGTGCTGAATACTTCTTTTCTCTTATTCACTCACGATGACACATTGTCAACACCTTCTTGGTGACTGTTTTCCAACTGTATTATTTGTCTAATTTGTCTCTGTCCTGTTTTTTTTATTGTATTTCCGAAAGCACAACAAGAGAAGGAAAAAAAACCTGATTGCTATTTAATATATTGGCGGGTATATGTATATTTAGAAAAAAAATGCGATTTACAAACACTGGCTTTATGATGTCTGCAATGAAATTAGTGTGTTGTGTATATAAAAAGATTGAGAAGGTAATTGAGCTTGTCTTCTTTTTCCTATTCTTCCCTCCTCTATATTAATTCATAATTTAGAGAGAATGATATAAAGTGAAGAAAATGACTGGGAAGTGCCTAAAAGTTTATTAGACGTTGCGCAAAAGAGAGAGACACTGGTTGAGAGAATATCGCACATACAAAAAAGAAGGCAAAAGCAAAGAATTCTCAGAATATGATTATCGAATGTTTTCACATATTTTTTAGCTGCCTTTTCGCAATTCATACACAGTGAAACGTGAATTAATTCAGATGTGAATTGTGCTTATGCGTTATAAGTTTGAAACAACACTGGTATAAATGTTGTTAAAATACAGGGTCGTTCAAGTGAATGATCGACAGTGAAATTGCTCAAAAAGCATGATCAATAAAGTATTTTGCGAGATATGATTATTAAGAAATTCACACGATGTTTAATGAATTTAGTAATTATTTCTATCATGAGATCAATTTCATTTCAAATATTTTATTATTACTAATTCTCTGTGTGTGGACAGTTGTGGTAAAAAAAATTGTGCACATGTTATCAGTCATAGAGTTAAAGGTCTAATGAGCACAATATTTTTCCATATAAATATATTTTATGACAAAAATACATATTTATTTGGCTGTATTTTCACTAAATTCGCGTAAGTAAGAAGTTAAATATTTCTCATCTCGTCGTCATATCGACATAAATGGATAAATAAAATAAGTTTATCACACACGTCTTCTGAGAAATGTGGGGAATTTCCTGTTCTCATTGATATTTGTGACAAGAAGGAGAAACGAAAAAGAGTGGATAAAGAGTTGGCATTTTGCTTTTGATCGAAAACACCTGCAAAAATTGATAAAGAACAACAGATCACTGTGTTATAAAAGTCTCTGTCTCTCTCTGTCTCAAGCGCAATTATTTAACGTCACAAGTGGAGGGGAAAAAAGTGGAAAATTCTCACAAATTTTCACACGGGGTTTTTTTGCACACAAGAAATGATAAAACTTCACATTTCATCGATGGTTTTCCCGAAAAAAATAAGTTAGAGCAGCACAATTGCCGTTAACCGATATTCGCGGCGCACAAGGGAGAAAATCACAAATTGTGTATTTCACTGAATATTTCCTCTTTGATACTGAGAATCACTGTTGATTTCGTTATCCGTTCGAGCTCTTGTTGGAGGTCTCTTTTGTTCACTTGTATACATGCAATATTGGTGTTTATGACGATGTGAGGAGAGGGACATGATTTTAAATGTGAACAACTATAATACATGAGTTGCTGTATGGGAAGAGGGAGAGCGTGTGTGATGTGAGACAAAAAAGACACACTAATACAAGTCAACAAAATCAGATAGACAGAGTCAGACTTTACACCGCACTTATTTAAATATATCAATTTTGGTCGCGGATTGCAGAGACACAGACACAGAATGGAGTTTTTCAATTGCCCCTACTCAACTGCACTGACTGATTGCCAAAGCGTGAAAGACTAAGAAGAGAGAAAAAAATGAAATTCATGGGAATAATTATTGCTATGGTTAAATATCACCACCTGTGTGTGCATTTTACATATACACATGGATGGAAAAATCGATGAATCGTGTACAGTTTGAGTCATCCCCACTCAATTTTTGCCAATGCACATGTTCTGCAGCATGCAGCATTCATAGAAATTCTTTAAGTACACCAGAGTCTCTATATAATTAATTCTGATTTTAAACAGTGAATCAATTATTTATGGGGTGAAGGAAAAAGGTTTTATCTGGAGCCTTCAAGTATCTCTCTTGAAGTGCATTCTTCTAAATAGTTCAAATTTATTAATAACTAATGAGCTGGCATTTGCTTTGTTTGTATGGGCTTATTTAGAGAAAAATCATATTACATGAAATTGTATCTTATTTTCATTCTTTCGAGTTTAAACATAAAGAACAAAAAGTACAGTCTGTGGTGAAATTGATTTTTCAATGATGTGTTAATAATAACACTGATAAAGGCAGCTGAAGTGGAATTATTGTAACTTGAACAACCCAAAAAGGGAAGACAATAATTAAGAAGATTTATATCACTGCATATTTCCATTAAAATATTATGATAAACGATGCTTCATAACTGCAGATAGTGTTCTGCATTTCTGCTTCTTGGTAAGAATTTACCTCAATTCTTAGTCGCAGAGTCAAATTTTATTCTCTGCACCATAAAATCCGCACACAAACAAGGACAGATGATGATGGACAGTTTATGCACAGATTATTTTTCCGAATTTCTAATAAGATGTGTTCTCTGAGATCTTAAATGTTCTTTGAGAACATTTTGTGTAGCAACATTACCTGTACACAAATGTGTGCTGTGAAAGAAATGGGGTTTCGACGTGTCAGCATATTTTGGCCACTCTGTTAATGGATGAGTGTTGTATAACGAAAGAATTTGCACTGAAGATATGAAAGTAGGTTAGAGAGTGGGAAATATTGGGCGGATTTACCTTAGTGTAGTGTGCCATCATTTGGAAGAGGCCACTTCTGCCGATCAGCTTGAGATCGCTTGATCCCATGACGAGCAGATGAATCCTGTCCAGCCAGCCTTGAACTGAATTGGAATTGGGCGAGACGATGGATTCTGTGTAGCGCAGAAGCGTGGTGGGCTCCAATTTGTCCACATGTTGGGCATATTGTCGCATATTGAGGTCCTCAAGGGTGATCATATTCATCAGATCACTCAACTCGTGGAGACTCCACTCGAGCTTGAAGTCGTTGTGGACGAATCTGTTGATACTCTGAATGGTCCATGTGGCTGTGTTGATGGTCTTGAGTGGCGGGGTTTTGTTATGTACACATATTTGTATTGAGAGGAGAAGGGAGAGCAGGCGAAAGAATAACGAGAAAAATGTATGAATCATCAAAATGGGCAATTGAAAGACAGGAAGTGTGAGAGATTATTTTCTCAATCTTCATACCTCGAATTCCACATTTTGAATTTGCTGTGAGATTTCTGTCAATCGATGCATTATCTTTTCGTGCTTGTGCTTAATGAAGGGCAGATCAATTTGATCACCGAGCTCAGTTTGCTCCACAAGATGCCATCCTTCAGCGACACTGGCGAACACCTCCTTAAGTAACCGTGCAACATCAATTGCATCCTCAATTAGTCCATTTGACGATCCTATGAGTATCACTGTGAAGACTAGCAAGATGTTCAATCTCCTATCTCGGGCCATTGTCTCTTCCTTGTGTGTCAGTCTCTTGGGATTCACCCCAAATCTTCTCTGATCGCGCTGCTTAAATCTGTTTTCAGAGACAATTCATCCTTGATTCATCCATTGATGTCCATGATGAAAAATTTCAATGAACTCACCATGAAAACTACAAGATCATGCTTTTATCTAATTGAACAGCTCACTTGAAACTAAGTGTTTGAAAAATCCACGAAATTGAGAGACTGAGAAAATCACACTTGTTCTGTTTGATGGTGAATCAACAAATGCGAGATTCATATTCATTGGTGCTGAGTTTTAAATTGAACTTCTTGGGAATGGTGTTACATGACACAGACATACAATTGAAGCTAAAGCGAGAGAGAGGAAGAGTGATGATGAAGAGAGAGAGAGAGTGTGTGTGTGTGTTGAGCGAGTCAGAGCCGCCGGGCGAATGAATTTTTATAAAGATTTTATCCACCACACTCACTCTACACATTGTGTGTATGTTTTTTGCTAAAAGTTACCACACTTTAGCAACAGAAGTCACAAATTCAAATGTGCTACTGATTTGATAAACGTTTCGCTCCCATGACAGAAGGGGAGTTTGCATATCATTGAGATCGTGGCTGCTGATGATTCAGGGGCGGACTTGGACGAAGCAATTCTAGTCTATCAAAACTATAAGTATTGATTGAAAAGCGAATACGAAAGGGGCTCTTCACATTATGCAGTATTCATAGCTTTGAATTGATAAAATATGTATTAAATGATTTTACAGAGGGGGAAGATAAAAAAGGGAAATAGTGATAAAAGAGGCGGTGAATTAATTGATAATAATAATCCACAGAGACATGATCGATAAAGTTCCATATATAATTTTGAACAACGTCACTGAATGAGGGTTCCACTGCACGAGAGAATTGAGGAAGTGACGTTCAATAATAACATGACTCACAGAAAACACAGCCGGTCGCGTTTTATCGTTTTAATAATGTAAGAAGAATTAGAATAAATTTGTGGTAGGTTCCATTGTCCCATATTAAAAGATTTATTTGCTTGACGAGACACAAATAATAGCGTGATAAATCTGATACGAACACTCAAATATTCAAATGTTTCTTATCAGTAAAATTAGAAATATAATGAGTCTCGAAAAGCGTCATAAGCTCATGCTAGCTTACTTTATAGAAAACTTGGTAATCAATGAGGAACCGATAAATTTAATACTTTCTTCCCTATTTTCTGATTTTGGAATTATCTTTCTTCTTGAATTCAGCAAGTCGATGAAGTGTTTTATTCTGTTGAAGACAAGTGTATTGTGATTAGATGGATTCAGAAATGACCATTTATGGTTTTTGCAGGCGGAGCATCGAGAGGTGCGGGGCATTTGACAACTGCTTTCTCTTTTAACACGTACAAACTTCTTTGCATTTGCAGAGCCTCTTCTATGAGATTCTATCGAGCATCTGGGTGCGCAACGGTCTGCAAATCAAGGGCCAAGCAATGACCTACATCCAGGCGAACTTCTGCAATTCAATGGTGGACATGGACTTATTCTTCCTCCAACTGTGCGCCACTCATTTGCCAGCTCAGAACTTCTTGACCACTGCCATTGAGGTGTTTGGTGTGAGTGAATGGCTGGGAATGGGACCACTGACGTCACCACAAGAAATTGAGCAGGATTCGATGCTTGAAGGATTGCTGACTTTCATTGCCACACTCGTGACATCGCGCACAAATCTGGGCAATGACGAACCGACGCAGTGCAAGATTGAGATCAGCGCGCTGCTGGCGACGGGCGACAGGACGCACAGTCAACTGCTGGAGTTGATGCCGGAGCGTTCTGGGAATGCGCACACGAGGAATTTTGAGAACTTCTTGAAGGAATTGTCTGTGTATCGTCCGCCACCGGTGGGATCGGAGAATCTGGAGCAAGGCTTGTTTATTCCAGTGCCGGAAGTGTGGGAAGTGTACTATGATCCACTGCATGTCCTGCTGAGGGCTGTGCATCGGCGTGACTTTCAGAATTCAATGGACAGATTCAGTAATTATGTGAAGTCGGAGCAGAAGATGCCGAAGAGTGGCAATCTCTGGCCACCATTCAGACTGCCGAATGCCGTTGGTGAGGCTTACAGTGACCCGAGTTCGTTGCTGACATCGCGTGTGTTTCACGCGTCGATTCTCAGCATCTTCCATCGGGCTGTTCACTCGCACAATGTGTCGGAGCACTTGATTGCCCTGGCGGTGTTCCTGCTGGAGATTGCCGTGACCAATGCGGAGAAGTGGGTGAAGAGTTCGGCGCTGGAGTGCGGCAGAATGTACAGCGCCTTGAGGCCTGGCCGTGATCCACCTGAGCTGCTCAATTGCTATCCCGGCGATTGTCTGAGTGAGAATCTGAGACACATCGTAACGCGTGTGTCTCTGACACCGCCAGAGCCTCAAGTTTCCCCTGCAAATTACAACACGACAACCTTTGACAGTGATCTGGACTGGGATGTTTCTGAGAGTGACACTCTGCCGATGCTGGTGAGTGGCAATGAGATGGACTACTCGAATACGTCGGTCATTGTTATTCCATCGAATCGCGAGGTGGCCGTTCCACAGGATCTCTCCATCGTTCGTCCAGACATGAATATGCTAGATGACACGTCCTCCACGCACTCTCTGCCGCCACTACCACTGTCCGAATCCATGCAAGCCATCACTGAGTATCCGCTCAGACTGGCACTGCCCTCTTCCACGCTGCCTGAGAGCCGAATGGAAGTGGCGATCAGGAGAGATTTGGGCTTGACGGCTGGTGGTACAAGTCGCAGCACAAGTGAAATGTTTTCGCCAACAAACAGCAATGGAACTGGCATGATTCTTCCCTTCCAGCGCGTGCAGCCTGTGGCCGTGCCAAGTCGCACGCTCGACGTCGTGCCGACAAATTCTGCAGGTCCTCGACGTCTGGCTAACAAGAAGCGCCAAGTCGAGGGCGTGAATTCTTCAGATTCAGACACTATTCTTATTGAAGAGAGCATTTTGTCGTTGCTGCTGAAGCTTCACTCTCAACTCAGTGGTTCTTTGGACAGTTTTTCACTCGACGAGAGTGCGGATAGTGAGGAAATGGTCGAAGCTGGACCATCTAGTCATGATTTGCCCTCAACATCGACTGGCATCACCACATCGACGTCCACAAGTGTATCGATGCTGTCGGACACAAGAATTGGCGACGGCCCGCACTTTATAGGGAATCTGCTGAGGAAGATCGCCCGAATGGACGAGGCTTGTGCTGTGAATATCAATGAGATACGGAGGAAGTTGTGGCCAAACCAAAGAGAGCGCCAGGCGGAGCAGCGAGCGCGTGAGGTGAAGGAGAAGGAGGAACGCAGCAAGCGCGCCAAGGAGCGCCAGCAGAAGCTGATGCAGGAGTTTGCCAACAAGCAGAAGCAGTTCATGGCCATGGCGGCCGAGGCGATGGATTGCTGTGAGGATGAGGAGGAGGTTGAGCAGGCCAGGGAGAAGGAGTACGTCTGCATCATCTGCAATCGCACAAGTCCCAGCACAGAAAGTGATCCTATTGGCCTGGTGGTGCTGGTGGAGTCCAGCAGTGTCGTTGGGCATCGGCGCAAGACACCGGAACGCTTTGCATTGCCGCTCAATGATCAGGAGAAGAATCGTCCGGGACGCAATGTAAGACTGGCGCATGAGTTCAACAGACGCACGGAGATTCTGACGTGGAAGTTTGGCGAGACGTCGTGGTATTTGTCGAACAATCTCGCCTGGGAAGGTGGGGTGCATGTCCAATCGTGCGGTCATCATGTGCATCTCACCTGTCACGATGCCTACCTCTCGTCACTGTTCTCTTCGCAGCGCCCGCAGAGTCTCAATGTGGAGCGCGGGGAGTTCAATTGTCCGGTGTGTCGGCAACTCTCTAATTCCGTCCTGCCGCTTAGTCCACAATTGGATCGACCCACACCTGTTGTTCGCGTGCCAGCGCCTCCGTACACCACTCTAGTCACTGAGCTCACGACACTGATCATGGAGAACGAGCGGCCCAAGACGTCCACAAAGCTGTCAGAGGCAATGGGTCGTGCCATGGAGGACATGACGAACAGCACACAGCGCAGAGCCAATAGAGTCTCACCGACACTCCAAAGTCTCATTCTCTTTGTCACCTCCATTGCCAGGACGAATCTGGAGGCGGAGATCATCCAGCGCGGCGGATCTCTGTGCTCTGATGAGTCTGTGCGATATAAGCCCAAGAGGGACTGCATAGGTAAGTCAAAAACAATTGAATTGGCCACAGAAGTGTCCTAATTTTGTCATTTCTTTTCAGTTCCCCTCCTTCATGTGCTGTCTGTGCACGTGAGAGTGTTGATTGAGTGGCCAGTGTGGCATTCCTGGGCGAGTCTCTGTGGAATTCCAGTGGCTGGCGGAACTCCGGTTCCAGCATATTGTCGTGAATTGATTCCCAGCCTTCTAGCCGATCCGAGTGCCCTTATGCTGAAATTTATCCTCTTAGCTCCGCTGCATTTAGATCTTGGTAAGAATACTTAAAGAAAATGGTAAATTCATGCAGAGATTGAGATTCTTCTCTTTCTTCTCCAGCTTACTTTACCTGCATTGTTAAGGCGATGTTCAATCTGCTGTATTATCAAGTGGTGTTGCAAATTTGCGTGACACTGACCGAATTTGAGTGCAATGACATCTTGGACAGATGGAAGATTCCTGAAGATGGAGCACAGATTAACAATCTGGGAATGGCGCTGGCATTTGTTCTTAGCCACACGGATCGTTGTCGTCATCTGCGAAGAGAGTGTGTCGTCGATGAAACTGCTCCGGTAAATATCTTATCTTCTGCATAAACATATTTTTTGTTCTAATTTCAATTCCCCTCTTTTGTGCACAGTCAACGAGTCGTATGAATTTGCAAGCAATGGAACAACAACTGCAGCGCCTCTGTCTCCCATTTTTACGCATAGCTGCACTACTGAGGCATCACCTGTACCATCAAGAGCTACCTGAAGTCGCGTCGCCACACCTCGAGTTTGTGCGCCTCGTGTACTTTCTAGAGTTGGTGACGAGCGGAATGGATTGGGATGTGTTCAATGGTGCAAAGGCGCTGTGCTTTGTGCCGGGAACGGAGAAGACACTGCCACAACTGTGGTGTGATCAATTCATGGACATCAAGCCGCCATACAACTTCATCCAAGAGCTTGTGGTCAATCAGCATGCTGTGTGGTATCAGCCGAGACTCCTTCAATTGCCACGCGAATACGAGAGACTCTTCACTGTGAGTTTCTTTTTCGGGTTACTGTTGTAATTTGTGAATATCTTAATACTTATGTGTGATTTATTGTCATCTTTGCAGTACTATCACGAGCAGACTTGCCAAAAATGTCACCAAGTTCCTCTGGAGAGTTCGATTTGCCTACTGTGTGGCACAATTGTGTGCCTGAAGCAACCATGCTGCAAGGAACAAGAATGTTGCGAAGCTGTGAGGGTGAGTTATGAATATGAATTCAAAACTGGCATCAAACTTTACTCTGTGACGTTTACAAAAAGAACTAACAATATAACAATTGACAAAGATTTGCGGTAATTATCGAATGTTATGAAAATTATTACCAAATTTTTTTTTGTTGACTAGTCAACTGATTTAAAAGATTTTTCACGACTGGTTAATGAAATTTCAACTTTCTACTTTACAGCATTCAATCACTTGCGGCGGAGGAACTGGAATTTTCCTGGTTGTCACGTCGACATACATAATTGTTATTCGAGGACTCAGAGCTTGTCTGTGGGGATCGCTTTATCTGGACGACTATGACGAGGAGGATCGTGATTTAAAGTAATTATTTGTCGCTCAATTCTCTTTGCTGCTTTGCTTAATGTCTCTTTTTTTGTATTTTACAGACGTGGCAAACCATTGTATCTCAGCGAGGATCGCTTCAATCTGCTCGAGTCGCAGTGGTTGTCGCACAGATTTGCTCACACGAAACATCCTTGGGTTTGGCATAGGAATTCTCTGTAAATTGACTCTACAAAGAATGGAACAGAAAGATCGCAAGGATTGTACAGAAAACTATTTAGTTTTCAGATAGATTGTTTAGCTTTGTTCAGAGAAATGTATGTTTTTTCTGCTGCTTTTCGGTTTATATTAAGTTTGTGTGTCAGGAAGAAAAAAAGAAATGAAAAACTAATTAGTTTATTGCGAATAGTTGCATTTTGGTCATTCTCGAAAAGTATCATTTTGCCTTAATTGATATGCATAGAAAAAAATCAGTGGAAAAAATTAAGTAATATCGTTTTTTTGCGCAGAACAGAGAAATCGAGACAAGGTGAACAAGTTTGTTAATACAATTTCTAATCATGTGATATTCATTAGAAATTTAGTGCGTGACTTTGTGAAGGAGTCACACTTATTTTACCAACTTCTTGGCTATCCTCTCGCATTCTTTTCACCATTTGTTTGAAACTGTGTTTTGTGATATATACTTTCCCTATGACATTGTGTTTATTGTTCACGAAATACTGCAAAAGTGCATTCTTTAAATGACGTTTCTCCTTATTTTCACTATTATTAGATCGTCGGGCGGCGGAACGAATTTGATATCGATATCTCGTACGAATCTTCAATGACTATTTAAATATATATAGAAGTATATTAGAATTGAATATTAATTATTGACTTAATTTTATTGAAATATTCACACAGAAGAACGCTATGTGTAAATAAATTCACAAGAGAAATGTTATCTATCTAAAAAAATATGTGTAACTAAAAGGGAGATAAAAAGGGAGATGCGTGTGTGTGTGCGTGTAAATAGAGAGAATCAAAAGCAGTGGAAATGAATTCTCAAGATATCACAATAACTTTGACTATATATAGCGTGCAGAGAAGCATTTTGAGCGGGAGAATTTGTTAGACAGTGGAATTTCGACTTCGAGTTTACGGATAAGATAATCGCAAATTGAAAATTGAATATAAACGTGAGACATTATATAATTTTGTTGAGACATTTTCGAGTTATATACCAAGATTCGATGGAGAAAGAGGCACGATTAACTATGAAAAGAACTTGTATTGTATAATTATCGTTGTTTGAAAGATGCTGTATTATCCATAATAAACATTTACAATATATATTATGATGAGAGAAATCACGGTAATATTAAAATAATTGAGAAACTTATGATATTGCGTTTTACTTAAGGTAACGCTTCATTGAACTTGTTAAACTCTGAGCTTGCATCCAAAGTTCTGAAGTATTCACTAAATCTCAACTAACTTTGTCTAAGAATCTTTAATTTTTCTTTAATGTGTACCAATATATTTGTCAACCTCTGTGCTGAAGCGGAGATTCAAACCATCAACGATATTCCCGATTGCGGCGAATAATGGCGAACGCGGCGAAGATTGCATTGAAATGTCACAAAGTGAATGTCAGTGAATGTGTTCAGTTCGTTGTTCTCTTGGGGGAAGAAATTGCATTCTCATTTGGATTTCTGCCTGGCTTTGGCACAAGTAATTAGTGGCTTTCCTTCATTAATCACCTCCTCGTGCGCTTCACGTGCGGCTGCGGTGCAGAAGATCGGCAGAAGGCAGCATTTCAGGAGACGCTCTTTGTGTCCTACTTTTAATTGCGGACTCTTCTAGTGGCCGTCGCATGCTATAACACTTCTCGCCACTTGTGTGTGTGCACTCGTTGGCATAATTTCGAGTTCCTAGAGTTTCTCCCTCTTGCTCGAGAAACCAGCCGCGCGCTTGAATCTTTGGACATTTTTGCCCAAGTTCAGCAATATTGCACATCAGTTCTCAGACGAAGAGTGCCGTGTCAGCACTTCGTGAGTGCACATTGCGACATTTTGCCAATTCCCAGGGCAACAATAGGGATTCCCATGCCACTTGAGTAAGTCGAAGAGTCACAAACTTATTAACTCTGTGCAATAAGAATGCATTAATTGAAACATTTTTTTTCTCTCCATCTCTTTCACTGCGCGCTAATTGCACGGGAAATTCCACAGATGATTTCGGAGTGCCGCATTTTCTCCTTGGGAAAACTCACCATCACATGAATGGAAAATCATGCTGGACAGAACACTCAATACGATTTTCTTTGAGTCCCTCTCGCACACAAACACTCTCCTCAACGGACTCAATGAGCTGAGACTCAATGGTGAGCAAATTGCCCGTAATTCCGTGTGAATTCAGCATCTACACTTTGGCGTCTTTTGCGAAAAACCTTTACTTTCGCCATTGTTTCCTTTCGCTAGCGAAATTGACAGTTAATTGGCAACGCTAATCATAGAAATTAGCTCATTATCATTAATCCTTCGAGATCACAGACCGTAAAGAAATCAATTCATTTTACATAAAGTCTGACGTGTGTAATAAAGGAATAGCTTTAACTTTAGAATGACTTACAAAAGTTTAGAAGATCAGTAGTATAGCTGTGATTGTAATAAGAGGGACGGCATTTTTCCTTATTAATCAATGACAGAAACTGATTGAAATTAAATGCTCAATTTCTCAGTCTTACGGCATTGCTTTCGGGGCCTAAATATTAAAAATCATGTGATTCGACAAATTCCAAAATGTTCCACTAATTTTCAGTCTATCTTGATGTTCAATTTCAAGGGTGACGTTAGGAAAGCGAGCTATTTTACGGCCTTTGAACTTAATTAACATGTAATTTACGCTTTCTGTTCTTCTGCTTCATTCGTAGGACACCTTATTGATATTACGCTGACGGCCAATGGACGCTCTTTCCGTGCCCATCGAGCCGTCCTGGCGTCCTGCAGCGAATACTTCCGGGCGATGTTCACGGACGCCATGAAGGAATCGCAGCAGCACGAGATCAGCCTGAACGGCGTCACGGCGGCCGGCATAGAATTGCTCCTCGAGTACGCGTACACTTCCAAGCTGGAGCTGAATCTGGCCAATGTGCAGGACGTCCTGTCGGCCGCCAGTCACATTCAGCTGGACGCCGTGGTCGAGGCGTGCTCGAATTACCTCCAATCGCAGCTCGACGTGGACAATTGCGTGGACATCGTGAGCATTGCTGAGATGTATTCGCTCGACAAGTTGCGGCAGCGCGTCTATCGATACATTTGCGCGCATCTCAGTGAATTCGTGAAGACGCACGAGATTTGCGTGCTGGCGCGCCACCAGCTCGAGCACATCCTGGCGTGCGACTATCCTGTGGACTGTTCGGAAGTCGTGGTGCTAAACATTGTGCTGCAGTGGATCACAAAGTCCGAGAAGACGCTGCACGACGTCCGCACGTGCAGTCGCTTACTGGGACTCGTGCGTCTGGCCGAGGTGTCGCCGAGTGATGTGGAGAGGACTCTTCAGGCTGTGGGAGTGTCGTCGAATTGCGCCTTGTTTGGCCTCACCAAGAGCCTGGCACAGTCGCAGAAGCGCCTCGTGGTGCCGGTCAGCAGTCAGGAGAATGCGCTGGTGAACTCGCGCGGCATGGAGTTGGCGCTGGTGAAGGTGGGTGGATTCGGCCTGGAGGGCATCACCAACGACATCACCTACTATCTGCCCAGCGTAAAGAAGTGGCGACACCTCACGTCCATTCCACACGTGGAGCAGTGCAACTACGGCATTGCCACGCTGAGAAACGGTGAGTTTTTGAGGGGAATGCTTTTCTTTGCCTTGATTTCTAACGCGTGACTCTCCCTGCAGAATTGTACGTCGTCGGCGGATGCTACAATGTGTGCCTGAAAGAGTATATCCATCCCTTTGGCTTTCGCTTCAGCCCGATGTCCAACAGCTGGACGACGATCGCACCGATGCAACAGGATCGGTGCCGCTTCTCGCTGAACTTCGTCGGAGAGTTCCTGTATGCCGTGGGCGGCGCAAGTGAGGTAGACGAGATCGAGGATCTGGATCTGGACGTGGGCGATGTGATCGAGCAGCAGGGCTCCACTGCGGAGTGCTACGATCCCAGCACGGACAAGTGGACCTACATTCCCAGCATGCCGGGAAATCGCACACAGCACGCGGGCGCCGCGCAGGATCACTTCCTGTATGTGTCGGGTGGGCTGGACAGGCACCGCGTGTTGTCGTCTTTCTATCGCTACAACACGAAGATGCAGGTGTGGGAGCAGCTGCCACCCATGCTCACGCCGCGCGCCGACCACATGATGGTGTCCATCAATGAGCGCATGTACGTGTGCGGCGGCTGGACGGAGCGCTCCATGGCGGACTCGCGGACGCTCATCGACACAATTGATGTGTACAATAGGGACTCATGTACCTGGGAGGTTGTGACGCACATCCCCACGCCGCGCTTCCACGCCGGCATTGTAGCCGTGAACACGAAGATCTACATCATCGGCGGCTTCTATTCCGACTCGATGTTCGACCTCACGCGCTCCGTGATCGAGTGCTACGACGTGGAGAGCAACCAGTGGACGAGCGTGGAGCGCTATCCACAGAACATCTGGGAATGCAACTGCATCGGGCTGTACATACCCAAGTGCCGGGACGACATGGAGGTGATCGTCGACGACTGCTGATGCGGGTGGGATCCGGAGGACACTAGTCAGGATCTCGCCCGTGCCATTCCCCACTGCCTCTCCGTCTGCCGCGCCAAACACACAGCGCGGGCAGCGTCTTCATCCTGGTGCACTCACCGGCTCTTCCTCACCCCGTTTTGTGATGACTCCTCACTGTCTTGTCTTATTTATTTGATTTTCTACACTGTGAGCAAATATACTCCATGATTTGATTGAAATTCAAGACCTTCGAGAGAATTAATCCTCCCAATTTGCTGCGTGATCCGAGTGACTATAATCGTATCAATGAATTCTTGTGGTAAGAATTGGTTCGATGTGCAATCGCGAACTCATTTTACTTTTTTTAGTGTTGAAATCAAGATTGGAACCGTGTTTGAAGTGTAAAATCCTTTTTTGCTACACTTCAAGCGATAAAGATGAAACGTTGGACGAAACTTATGGAACGTCACGTCGATATCCGACGAATTACAGGAACAATCCGCTGCCACATGAGAAGCGAAATATTTGGTCTTATCGGGCGTGAAAAAGAGTCGAGGAAAACAGCTGATTGTGACATTTTAGTTTGGAACGAAAGTAAACAGTTGAATACACAAGACTCTTTGCTTCATAAAATCCTCGAAATACTCGATAGAATCTTACAAACAACTTCAGTTCAATTTCCCACGATGGCTGTTGCTAAAGAGGAAGTCATAGAATTGTGCAGAATTTGCGAATCCACAGATAATTTGCTGGATATTTCAACAGAGGAATTTGCTCATTTGAGTATAAAACTTCACAAAATTGGTGATTTTCAAGTGAGTGGATTAAAAACTCTTGATTTCTCAAAGAAATTTCAACATTCTTCATATATGTTTATTCAGGATCAGGACACCAGTTGGCTGAAATTCATTTGCTTGTCCTGCAGTGCTAGATTGGAAAATGCCTTTGATTTCAAAGCGCAATGTGAATTCACTTACAAAAAAATCGTCGATCAGATGAGAACGAGCAAAATTTCTTCATTTTCTGATCCTCTGACAAATACTTTAGCTATTTGCTTGCAGGAAAGTGTAAAAGTTGAGATATTTGAAGCCCAATTTGATGTTTTTAACGATTCAGGAGGATTTGAGAATCGGACACAGGAACCTAGGAAGAAAAAACCATCAGAGCTGAAGAAGTACGCAGTAGATCAGTACACTTTTACATGTGCATTCTGCAGCTGGACTTTCAGGAAGAAGGATCGACTGAGAGATCACATTGAAGGGCGGCATTTAAAGAAATTGCGATATTCATGTGAAATTTGCAACAAAAAGTTCATTTTCGCTCCTTCGCGCTACAGACATCGATTAATTTACCACAGCAAAAAGTCATTTGACTGCGAAATCTGCGGGAAACCATTCAAGACGCAAATGTACTTAAACAAGCACAAGAAGAGACATTCGGGCACACGAGAGCAGCAGATCAGGCGACATTTGTGCCACTTGTGCGGCTACAGATCCAAAGACAAAACCCATCACGTTGAGCACATGAATTGGCACGCCGGCATCAAGCCGTTTAAGTGCGATGAGTGCGGAAAGGACTTCGTGCGGAAGGACGCATTGCGGACTCACCGGAAGACGCACACAGACGAGAAGCATTGCATTTGCCAGATATGCTCGAAGGCCTTTCGCACAAATGCACAGATGAAGACTCACCTCACGACTCACACCGGAGACAAGAACTTCAAGTGCAAATATTGCAGCAAGTCGTATTCGCAAATTGGCGGCCTCACTTATCACATGCGGACTCACACTGGCGAGAAGCCTTTCGAGTGCCCGACGTGCTCGAAGACATTCTCACTGAAACATCTTCTGCAGAGACACACGTGGATTCACACGGGCGAGAGGCCGTTCCATTGCAACTCCTGCTCAAAGACCTTCAGATCCAAGTCCAATTTGCAGAGACACCAGAAGATATGTGCCCAGAGTTCGACAATCCCTAAGAATTTAGAGGAGTCTACTGAGATTACAGCATGAGAAGTCGCCCAAAAACTTCGTTAAGTTTAAACATCACTTATGGCCAACTGCAAAGTTATTTTCCTGCATTTTCTCACCATTTACATACAAATTGTGGGTAAATAAATTTTATTGCGAGTTAAAAAGCCAGTTAAAAGGACATTTCAATGTGAATCCTCACATCTCATTAATAAATCACAATATAACTAAAGAAATGACTTTTGTAAAAAGAGAATTCGTGGACGTTTGCAGAGTATGGGAATCAATCAATATGTAAATAAATAAGAAGCGAACAGTAAAAATCACTGGAGTGGGTGGGGACGGTTGCTGACTAGCTCATTGGTTAAAGCGTTTAATGTTCAATGCTAAAATCATGTGTTTAAATCCGCCAATCGCGAAAATCTTTGAACACAGCAGAGCGAGATAAAAAGTCCGCTTCACGGGCAAAAGAGCAGAAAAGCGCGAAAGCGGGTGGGGGAAAAGGTGTGGGTATTTCGAGAGAGAATGTTCTGAAGGCGGCCGTGGTGCAGTCGGTAGAGAGCCAGACTGAGGACATCACGGTTGTGTGTTCTCGATCCTCTTCACTTGCAAATGATCAAACACAACAGATGCGAAAAATATTAAGCCCTTCAATGGCAAATATAAAAATTCCAGCCCAAATAAGGTTGCTGTTAAATGTTCCAACTGAAGTAGAAACTTCAGTGGAAGTGTATTTCGCAACTGTCCTTACTTATAGATGGGCACACTACCAGACTGCTGTCGCTTGTAAATAAGCGATATCGTCCGCTTCACGGGCAAAAGAGCAGAAAAGCGCGAAAGCGGGTGGGGGAAAAGGTTTCTATTGAGAATGTTCTAGATGTGAGACAACAATTCGCTTCACCAGAATTGGCTTGCACCTCTCTGTCTATCAATATGTAAATAAATAAGAAGCGAACAGTAAAAATCACTGGAGTGGGGACGGTTGCTGTGTAGCTTTATTGGTTAAAGCGATTGATGCTCAACGCTAAAATCGCGTAAATCGCTAAACACCATTTTGTGCTGCAAAAGACGCAAAAGAAAATTATATTATACTGATTTTTTTCAGCCGGAACAAGGCTCAAATACCTAACCAATAGTTGATAATGACAAGTAAGAACACCATTTTGTGCTGCAAAAGACGCAAAAGGCAATGATATTATACTGATTTTTTTCAGCCGGAACAAGGCTCAAATACCTTACCAATAGTTGATAATGACAAGTAAGAACACCATTTTGTGCTGCAAAAGACGCAAAAGGCAATGATATTATACTGATTTTTTTCAGCCGGAACAAGGCTCAAATACCTTACCAATAGTTGATAATGACAAGTAAGAACACCATTTTGTGCTGCAAAAGACGCAAAAGGAAATTATATATAGTGCACAAAATGGTGTTTTTATTTGTCATTATCAACTATTGGTTAGGTATTTGAGCTTTGTTCCAGCTGAAAAAAATCAGTATAATATAATTTTCTTTTGCGTCTTTTGCAGCACAAAATGGTGTTTAGCGATTTTCGCGATTTTAGCGTTGAGCATCAATCGCTTTAACCAATGAGCTAGTCAGCAGCCGTCCCCACTCCAGTGATTTTTACTGTTCGCTTCTTATTTATTTACATATTGATAGACAGAGAGGTGCAAGCCAATTCTGGTGAAGCGAATTGTTGTCTCACATCTAGAACATTCTCAATAGGAACCTTTTCCCCCACCCGCTTTCGCGCTTTTCTGCTCTTTTGCCCGTGAAGCGGAGTTCATCTCGCTCTGCTGTGTTCAAAGATTTTCGCGATTGGCGGATTTAAACACACGATTTTAGCGTTGAGCATCAATCGTTTTGACCAATGAGCAGCAGCTAGTCAGCAACCGTCCCCACTCCAGTGATTTTTACTGTTCGCTTCTTATTTATTTACATATTGATAGACAGAGAGGTGCAAGCCAATTCTGGTGAAGCGAATTGTTGTCTCACATCTAGAACATTCTCAATAGGAACCTTTTCCCCCACCCGCTTTCGCGCTTTTCTGCTCTTTTGCCCGTGAAGCGGAGTTCATCTCGCTCTGCTGTGTTCAAAGATTTTCGCGATTGGCGGATTTAAACACACGATTTTAGCGTTGAGCATCAATCGCTTTGACCAATGAGAGCAGCTGCTAGTCAGCAACCGTCCCCACTCCAGTGATTTTTACTGTTCGCTTCTTATTTATTTACATATTGATAGACAGAGAGGTGCAAGCCAATTCTGGTGAAGCGAATTGTTGTCTCACATCTAGAACATTCTCAATAGGAACCTTTTCCCCCACCCGCTTTCGCGCTTTTCTGCT